ATGTAAATGCTGCGCCCTCTAAGGTGGAACGGAAAATTCGGATAAGACGCTGCCTAATAACAAGTCATCTTCAGCCTCGTAGAGAAACAGTCAGGGGTTCTGGCCTCTCTCTTATATCTGTGATTACTAAACCACTTACGCTGTGACATCACAGACTGCTCGGCAGCAGCGCTGCTCAGGCCTCAGTGGAGACGGTTAAAGTAATTAGAAAATGATGGACTGTACTGGGGCTTTCCACTCCACTTTCTCCTTTAGATCTGCTCTCTATTTCTCCACTACTCTAACCACTGTCTCTCCTCCCTCCCTCTCTTCTTCTCTCTCTTTCTCTGCGTGCTGATTTCCTATGGTGTGTTGGCTTTTCTCTATGGACTTAACTTACTTCTCTTTTTCTCTGTTCACTCTTGAAATATGCAGACTGTTCCGTCTCTTTTTCCCAGCACTACTATAGTGTTTTCCTGCTGTTCAATAGGTAAAAATGGATTTTTTGTACAGAGATGTGGATTTTTTTTGCTGTTTTGCTGTCAAAAGTGTCCTATAATCAGTAGTAGTGCACTCACAAATACACTAATGATGATTTGACTTGTCTGTTGTATCTATCAGAAAAGTGGTGCAATTCATATCGTATCAAAATGTTTGCATAATTCAGTCGTTGAGATGTAAATAAGGTCATTCAGAGTGTTTTAATGCTAAATGGTGTGTTGTAGGGCAACTTACCGATTTCTTCACAGTGGTGGTGATGGGAACCAGGGGTCACAATGTCCATAGCACAAATATAACTATTTTATTTACTATCCAGAACCACCAGTGAACCTACTTGTGTCTTCTGAGTTTTAGATGTAATGTTGATGATGGTAAAATGGTGGAAAATCTGTATAAATAAGTTTTCTTTGGGGGCTGTTTTGCCTTATAACACTCTGCCTGTTAAAATGGCTTTTAAAAAATATGTTTCTGAAAAAAATTCTTATCTCAAAACTAAACGCAAAACAGTGTCAGGGAATAACTTTCATTGAGGAGGCATTAAACTTTTCAGATATCTGGTTCCTATCACCACCACTGTAAACAATCCTGACTCTGTAAGTTTCTCCAGAATGGAGTGTTTCATCAAACGACTGTGAATGACTTTGTTTACATTTCAACCATTTATTTATGACATTTTGAAAATTCAGTGGAATTCCCCTTCAGTTATCAGTGAATTGTGTATTTTAGGCATGTCTCTGTCTGTGTGTGTGTGTGTGTGTACCTGAGTGTGTACGAGACACCCACACATACACACACGTATGGTTTGTATATAGTGGTGTGATGAAACCTCCAGCTAATCTTAGTAATCAGTCTCCATGGTAACATATCCACTAGCAGTGCTGACCAATGTGTCTCAGGTGAAGTTTGACTGAGGAAGGCTGAAAGAGACGAGGCCTGTCAGCACTATGCTAAAGCTAACTTTCTTACCTGTCTGTGTGATTATCTGGGAAGTGGAGGCTCACGCTAGTGGCTGAAAATGGCTGTGAAGTCTGATTTGTTAGAACGCCTGCTGTGATTCACAGTTTAGTCCTGTTAGCTGTGTTAGTTGGTACTAATAAGCAGAATGTGCACAAAGATGTGAACTAAGGGTGACTTAATTGTGCAAGGTGTTCATTTTCCTGTAACCCAGAAGCTCAAGCACTCTGTGTAAGTTAAGGACAGAGAGAGGTCAGCGAGTTCACTCAGCTTTAAACCGATATTTCTGCCAGAAAAGCAATTTGCACAGTTTTCCACCCCTTAGTTCAAATGCAGTCAATCAACCCACACGTGTTTGGTGTTTGAAGGTTGTTTTTAGTGTTGTTCTGGAGCTACAAGACCAATCAAAATCACTTTAATAGACACTGGCATGTCCTAGGAAATTGCTATATATATATATATATGTATATATATATATATATATATATATATATATATATATGCATGTAAACATATGTTTATACATAAACACACACATATAAATATATATATATATGTATATATATATATATATATATATATATATATATATATATGTGTGTGTGTGTGTGTTTACGCCTAAGTTTCTTTTTTGATAGCTTTTGGTTTGAATATCCTGTTCCACCTTAAATAGAGTGGCAGTTTCATTTTGCAACCTGTATACATACCTCAATATAACCATTTAAGGTGGAAGAAGAAATTTGGATAAGTTAACTTTTTAAATGGCTCGGTCGAATTTCTTTTGCTCGAATTTCTGCTTGCCTCTGTCCATCAAACACTGGTGGAATCTGGAAAATATGAATCATTTGTGCTTTAGTTTTAGCTGGTCCACCGCTTTTTCCATGTACTAGGCCTTGACCACAGTGTCGTCTGATGCAGCTGACCCAGTCAGGCAGCTTCTAAGGTGGTACAAGAGGAAACAGAAGCACGGTAAAAGCTCTGGTGTTCGTGTTAGGCTAAGGCTAACCCCAAAAGACTGGCCATTTCTTTTTGTTCGCTGCCTCAAAAACACAGTGGACTGCTTCAGATGCAACAGACTAGACAGCGGAGGGTGATCGAGGGTCTTCTGTGTCTTAATTTTCACTTGAAACATGACTGAAACATCTCTGTCTTAGCTATTCAGCTAAACAGGCTAACATTAGTGTGGTTTACGCTGTTTGTATGTCGTGTTGTCGCTTAGTTGTGGCATACTGGTATAACGGTTATAACTCAAAGCTGAGGAAGAATTTCAACAGCCCACTACCCTGAACTGTGTTAAAGTCATGAAATTACACATTTTTGAACGCAACTACACACGAAACCCTGCCTGCGTAGCTGGAAACATCTGCGTTTCACGTCCTTGCATGAAGTATGTTTTGGGCATTGGGGTGCAGTTTGCACAATGCTAACCTGTTAGCTAAAAGCTTCTATATTTGTTAGCTGTATTAGCCTCGCCGCAAGGGGTGGGCAGTATGGCAAAAATATTATGTCACCATATTTCAAGACATTTTCAGGGTACACAAGTTGCATCACAATATTCAGTTTTTCTGTAGTGCCACATTTCAAAAAATACTATAACGATAGTAATAAACATACAACTACAGTGATTTTTATCAGAGACGTTATAAATAAGGAGACCGGCTACGGGTTGAAATATGAATAGGAAAGCTCATAACACTCAACATGGCGTCTGTTTACAGAGTAAGTCCCGCCGTTCAAGAAAAAGAGCCAGTCAGCTTGCTGGCTGGGTTGTGATGTGAACATCCGCGCAAGCATAGTAGCCAGAACAACCTGAAAAAAAAAACGTTTTTTGTGCGTTACTGAGCCAAACGCTACAAACTGTTTATGAGGTTTTTGTCAGATTGTATCCGTGATTTCAAATTTATTAAAAATAAGTTATCAAATATGTTTGAAATGGTAATTTGACCTTCGATTAAGAATGTTTAGGTCTCCCCTCATTCAGCGAGGTAGGAGTCTGGGGCCGTATTACAGAAACGTCCTGTCTGTTTGTCTTAACCTAAGATCTGACAGGTCAGGATAAGATTTTTTACGAATTCGTATTATAGAAGCGAATCTGATCTTAATTTAAGAATCTTATCTCATCTTACAGCATCTTTTCTTATCTCAAGTTAAGAAATGTTCAATCTCGATCAAAGTCGACAATCAACTGTCTTATCTTACCTAGCAACCGACCACACGCACAGCTGAAACAATAACACGTAATCAAAGTACTGAAGTTAGTTAGCCAGACAGCTAACGTCAGCTACTGTTACTGAGGTAAAAAAAGGGTCCAACAGACTGAAGCGCGATAAACTTGGAGTCAAGAATATCGCGACAGTGCTTGTGACTTAATTTATCACCATAATGTTAAAATATATAAATATAATATTTAAAAAATGTAGAAAAATTGGTCATCCTGTCCACCCCTGCTCGTAGCTCCTGTGCAAAACTGAAGTAGCAAACTTCAGTCACTAAACACGTCTTGGCTGATCGACTACGTTTTGAGTAAGAGGGAAAATTGTGTAAATCAGATTTTTAGCTGAACCGTCGCTTTAATAGGAGTTAGTAGTCAGCGCTCGCCTCCTCTCTTGTCCCTTCGCCGCTCGTCAAAGAGCAGCACAGATTCCAGCTCAGTGAGAGATGAGGCCAGTTCAGCCGCTGATCCCCTCTGGAGCCGGAGCTGTGTGTGGTTGTGGTTGTGTGTGGGTGAGCGGTTGATTTTGGCAGCGTGTAAAAGTCGCAAGGACGTCAAAGAAGTTTATTATGACAGAGAGGGTGTGGGTCTGACTCACAGCTAATCTGTCTCTCTCTCTCTCTCTCTCTCTCTCTCTCTCTCTCTGTCTTTGTCCGGCTGTGACACAGTTCTTGTTGTTGTGTTTTTTTACTCCACAGAAATTGAGGGTATTTATATTTATATGGGGTGAATCATACAGGAATCATGTTTTATACAGTCTCTGTTAACATCATATTAGTTGAAGACGTGTTCACACACAAACAAGTTTGGAATCACTCGCCACATTAACAGTTTTTCTTATTTTATATACAAAAATAGCTTAAACAGTGTGGATTTAAATAGGAAAAACTGTTCACCGAGGCATTTTGGGACATTTTATTCAATATTTCAAGAATGCTGTGAAGAAGAAATTATTAAATGATAAATAATATACAGTAATTGTCCGTTTACATTTGTTTTTCATTTTAATTCTCAATTTTATAATCTTCAGCTCTGTAATAATCTCATACACTGCTCTGCAAATAAATTGGCATTATATTATTAAAAACACTGATTCCAAACTTTTGAATGGTAGTCTATGAATCTGTCTGTCTATCTATCTATCTATCTATCTATCTATCTATCTGTCTATTTGTTCCATGCATGATGATTGGTTGGCTGATGTTAGCTGATAGCATCTTATAATACCAAGTTTATCCATAATTTTGGAGATTTGACATATTTGGTCACTATCATTATTATTATTATTATTATATTGATTTTTGTTTTTATCTGATTATATGCTCTCTCTCTCTCTCTCTCTCTCTCTCCGCAGTGGTGTGTCCTCTGACCTGTATAAATGGAGGTGTGTGCAGTAATCGTACACACTGTCTGTGTCCGCCGGGCTTCACGGGGCGACTCTGTCAGTTCCCCATCCGCACGCAGTCGTCCCACGGCAACAACCAGCCCTTCTACACACTGCAGGCTCGTACAGCATCATCATCTACACCATCTACACCATCTACATCCACCTCTTTATCATCTTCCTCCGTCTCTTTATCGTGTTCATCATCTTCATCTTTATCCTTCACCCTTTATCATCTTCATTTTCATCTTCATCATCTTTATCCATCTCTTTATCATCAGCCACGTTTACGTGCAGCCTTATAACGTTAATAATCCGCCCAGTAGCTCAATCAGAATAGAATACGTCCATGTAAACACCTCAATCGGAATAGACTAGTCCGATTGAGGCCATTCGGAATACAGTTTCTGTCCGATTAAACGAGGTGGGTAATCCTGTAAATCTGTTAAATAGAAGAATAATATCCATGTAAATGCCTGTATCTGATTACATTCCCAATCTGAAAGTCTAAGTACGTTCTGATCATGTGCGTCGCGTCATAGTGAAAGTTTATAACTCAACATGGCGGAGCAGAAACTGGTCTGCAGAGGAGACGAAGTTTACGCTCTGATCTTTAAAAGACGGCGGTGGGACGGACGTCCAGCTTATGTGTCTCAGAACACGACGTCTTCCTCTCGGCCTTCTTTAATAAGGACATGTGAAGGAAGTTTTCCTGAGTCTGACATCATTTTAAAGCAATTAAAACACAAGCACTGCTCACTGCTGCTCATCTCACTCTGACTGGACTCACGTGATGCTTGTTGTCATGGTAACGTCTACACTAAGTGGTTCTCTGCGCACGCGTGTGATTTTGGATCGGATTACTTGTAGTGAGCATGCAGGCGGAGATTTTCCATCAGATTGTTGAGTAGAGTGAGCATAAACACCTCAGTCTGAGTCTATAATCTGAACGTATTCAATCGGATTGGCAAACATCTTCACATGTAAACACAGCCGTTTTCATCATCTTACTCATCAACCTCTTTATCATCTTCCTCATCATCCACCTCCTCATCGTCATCATCTTCATCCTCCTCCTTTGTCATCGTCCATATCTTCTTCATCCTCCACTATATTATCGTCATCATCTTCGTCATCTTCTTCTTCGGCTTTCTCCTCTTGATCATCCTCATCTTATTCCTGTTCCTCATCTTCCTCTTTCCCCTTTTCCTCCTCATTCTTTGCATCCTGCTCTTTCTGTTTCTTGCTCTTCACCCTCCACATCATTTTCATCCTCTTGTCCTCTTCATTGTCCCCTGCCTCTTCATCATCTCTAAAGTGCTTTTCATCTTAACCCTCTGCCTCCTCCTCATCTTCATCATGTTCATCAACTTGTTCTGCTTCATCTATCCTCTTCCTCATCTTCCTCCTCCTTCTTCTGTTCTTTGTCTTCATTCCTCCTACTTTCCCTCGTCTTCCTCTTCCCCATCCCCTCTCTCCCTTTTCTTCCTCTTCCTCCTCTGTTTTCAGGATTCTGCCTGTTTGCTGTTGCACTGTCAGAGTCAGAGACCCTTCATTTATTCAGTTTCTGGTCAAAACAGCCATTTAGTACATTAAGTTATTCATTTTTAGCACAGAGCTGTATAAATGGATGAAAGAATGGTTTAAAATGTCTGACTGGATCTTTACAAATGACCGTGCAGGTGATGCCTGAGGGTCCAGGCCTGTCTGAGTCCAGTGGTCCGGGTGGGCGGCAGCAACTGACCCAAACACACTCAGTGTTCACTCTGCCGCTGGCGCAGGGCACCGGACAACAGTCCTCCAAAGGTACCGCACCCACACCAGCTCCTCCTCGTCATAGTTCTGATTTACTGCGAAGGTAATGTTGTGTTCTTCATGTAAGTAATCTCTCTCTCTCTCTCTCTCTCTCTCTCTCTCCTTTCTCTTTCCTTTCTCTCTCTCTTTCCCGCTCTCTCTCTTCATCTTTCCAGTGCAAGTAGAAGTCAGTGTCCACCACACGCCGGACACCTCTGTGGTCATTCATTCTCTTGATCAATCAGACAGCAAACCTCCAAAGCCAGTGACACGCCTCCCTCCACAGACACACAAGCCGAGGGGCCGGTGCTTTCAGGAGACCACGCCCAAACAAGCTGTGAGTGACAGACAACAGAAACTGAAAAGTTTCTGACGCTCTCTGAAGCAAGTGCCCAAAATTAGTGTTAATGGTAATTGACCGCATCCTGTAAGTGCTGCAGGTAGAAATTATGTTGAACAAAAACGGAAATATTCCTTTAATTGCAACTTTGACAGTAACAGGAAGATGCTCTCCATTCTGTATCCCCCTCTCTCTCTCTCTCTTTCTCTCTCTCTCTCTGCTGTAGTGTAGCAGTAACCCTCTCCCTGGATTGACCAATCAGGAGGACTGCTGTGGCAGTGTGGGAAATTCCTGGGGTCAGAACAAATGTTACAAATGCCCCAAACTTCACTGTAAGTATGGTAATCGACTGAAAGTGAACAGAACAGCAGGAGCTCATCAGCTTTTTTCAAAATAGCAAGTAGAAAACCGTCAAACAGCATGCAAACAGCCTGTTTATGCTCCGCCCACCGATGCATTCTGTCATAGCTACCGTTGCCAGGTTAGACAAGGCTTACAAGACGCTGAGTAACATCCCATTCAGCCTAATGAGGAACTAGAAGAAATTTAAATTGTAAATCATTATTAACTGTGTTGAACATTAATATATATTAAATATAAGGTGACTCAAAAAGATTCATCCACTTTTAAAATGATTTATTTCATTTGTAAATCATTACAGATCAATGCAGTGAACTGTAAATGGTTTAAATGAGCATAAAGTTTATTATGTAATTTTAAAGTGCTCAATATGATCCTCCACCAGCTGTGCAAATATTACTCCAGTAAAAGTAGAAGTTCATCCCTTTAGACCTAAAAGTACAGAAGGATTTGCCTTCAAATGTACTTAAGTATCGAAAGTAAAAGTACTAGAAGATTAATTATGACTCTGATGTCTTATTACCATTTTTGTAACAAGACTCCTGCTTAATCAACTCATTTTAGGTGAAAATACTCCAGTGTCACTCTTGTAACACCAATATTTTAATAGAATGTCATTAATTAGTGACGCTGATGTCTGTTAAAATGATCATAATCACAAAACACTGAAGGCGAACAGTTTCCATTAGGTAGAACTGAGTGGCTCTGAAATAACTTTTTACAAACAAGCAAAGTTTCAGTTTAAGATTTATTTGCAACTTAATTACAAGTTTAAATTTAATAAAAACTTGCTTTAAACTCAGGTTCACAAATGAGTTTTCCTTTCCTTTCATAAACATAAACTAGCAAAAACTCATTTACTATAAAATGAAAATGTGTTTGTATAAATTCAGAATAAAGACACGTCAGTCACAACTGCATATGTGTACATATTTCTATATTGTGGTCTATTTACATAAAGTTAGGTTAGTTCATCATTTATGTTGAATAGACTCTCCCAAATTGTTACGCTGCTGCACTGACGTTGAACCGTGTGCTGCACTGGGCAGGTGTGTCCAACAGGTCAAAACAAGCTCAAAACAAAGTGCACTGTGCCCTGATTGGTGTTCTTCCTTTGTGCTTCTTTTGTTTTGACGTTACGTTTTTATACACACATAAACCAAAAGGAACGACAGATTCCTCGTAATGTAGTGGAGTGAAAGTAAAGAGTCACCCAAAATGGAAATACTTCAGTAAAGTACAGATACAGAAAAAAACTACTTAAGTACAGTAATGAATTACATTTACTTAGTTACTGTCTATTAAATATTAATTGTTAATCACATATTAATTGCGAAATCACACTATTATCAAGGTTGGTTGACAAGCTGTGCAGAAAGTTCAGCTTCAGCTGTTTTAATATTGCTGGCTAGTTTAGCGGCGCAGTCCACGCTGCTGGTGTATGAGTGAAGAGATCTGCAGACGCGCTGCTCGTCATATTTGCTAGATATACCAAAAATCTGTTGCCTCGATTGGTATTAACTTGGTTTAGGGCTGAACAATTTACGGAAAATATCTAATAACCAAATTTCTGACTAATATTGCAACTGTGATTTAAATTGCGCTTAAATTTTGCTTTTTTGTTTTTTTTCGTCGTGAAGGCTTGAACACGGTATATAGGGCTCCAGATCACCCAATAGTGGAGACCATGATGTCACAGCACATGTGTGTTTGGTTGCTCTAAGGCCAAACTACACCCAGTCAGCACTCAGAGCGACCTTTCACACTCATACAGCATCCAAATAATGTAGAGTTATTAATAAACTCTGAATGGAGCTGTTTTTCCTTATAGAAAAGTTACATGTATTTCACATGAAGTGTGCAAAAACCGTGTGTTTACAAGTAATTACACACTTTATCACTCGTGAAGTTTACTTTTAGTACAGAAAAGTGAGGCACTTCCTCTTCTTCTCTGTCTCTTTTTTTGCCGTTTGTCTTATATAATCCTCCCGTCACTGTTGGGCTGGTAGGAGTCACTGCAGGCCAGCAGATTAGATTTCAGTACGAGCTCCAAGAAAAACCCTCTTTTCCCTTTTTACTCTTTTTTCCTGCTCATATTCATTCTTTCTTTTCTCCGTCACTCTGTCTGCCAGGGCTCGGTCTTAAAGCCCCAGCGCACAAAAGCAGCTCTGTGGAGTCGGGATTTAAAAACGAATAAAACCTGACCGACTGTGAGACTCGCTCTGCGCTCTGTTTCCTACAGCACACCCTCAGAGTCAGAGACAGAGATAGAGACAGAGACAGAGTCAGAGACAGCGTCAGAGAAAGAGTACGAGTCAGAGACAGGGTCACAGACAGAGAAAGAGACAGAGTCAAAGACAAAGTCAGAGTCAGAGACAGAGATAGAGACAGAGTCAGAGACAGCGTCAGAGAAAGAGTAAGAGTCAGAGATAGGGTCACAGACAGAGAAAGAGAAAGAGTAAGAGTCAGAGACAGAGTCACAGACAGAGAAAGAGACAGAGTCAAAGACAGAGACAGAGTCACAGACATAGAGTCAGCGTCAGAGAAAGAGACAGAGTCAAAGACAGAGTCAGAGAGAGTCAGCATCAGAGAAAGAGAGAGTGTCAGAGAATGAGACAGAGATAGAGACAGAGTCAGAAACAGAGTCAGAGACAGAGTCAGAGTCAGTCAGAGTCAGCGTCAGAGAAAGAGTAAGTCAGAGACAGAGTCAAAGACAAAGTCAGAGACAGAGTCAAAGACAGAGTCAGAGATATAGACAGAGGCAGAGTCAGAAACGGAGACAGAGTCAGAGAAAGAGACAGTCAGACACAGAGTCAGAGACAGAGACAAGCAGAGGATGAGAAACTACTGGAAAAACACTCACTACAGCCAACTCTCCTCTCTCTCTCTCTCTCTCTTTCTCTTTTCTTTGTGTCTTTCTCTCTTTGTCTTCACTTTACTCTCTTTCTGTCTTCACTCTCTCTCTCTTTCTCTCTCTCTCCCTCTTTTTCTTTGCTTTCTCTCTCTCCTTTCACTCTCTCTTCTCTTTCCTCTCTTTGCCTCTCTCTCTCTCCTTTCTTTCTGTCTTTTTCTTTCCCTCCTTTTCTCTTTTTCTATTTCTCTCTCTTTCTCTGACTCTTTCTCTCTGTCACTCCTTCTATCCTCTCTTCTATATAATTATTTCTCTTTATCGCTTTCTGTCTCTCTTTCCTCTCTCTCCTCCTCTTTCTTTCTTTCTCTTTCTTTCTCCTCCTCTTTCTCTCTCACTTCCCCTTTCTCTTTATCTTTCTTTTTCCTATCCATCTTCTCTTATTCTCTTTTTCTCACTTTTTCTCTTTCTACCTCTCTATCTTTCTTTTCCCTATTCTTTCTTTCTTTCTCTCTGTATCTTTTCTCTCTGTTTTTCCTGTTCTCTCTCTCTCTCTCTCTCTCTCTCTCTCTCTCTCACTATCTGCTTTACTTCACATCCTTTCCCATAACGTTCCCCTTCTGCAGCACTGAGAGAAAGAAAAGAGAGTGACAGAGAAGAGAAAGACAGACAGACAGACAGAGAGAGAAAGTGTGTTTTTGTTTTACTTGGCAGATGAATATAAATTATAAAATGTATCTTCTTTGTTTTCTTTCTTTCTCTCTCTGTTTCTGTCTTCACTTTCTTTCTCTTTCTTCACTCTCTCCCTCTCTCTCTCTCTCTCTCTCTCTCTCTCTCACTCTCTCTCTCTCTCTCTCTCCTTCTCTTCATTTTCACATGGGTTCACGTTTCCTAGTTAGCATTTAGATTATAGACTCATATTTACTCAGTGATCTGATCCAGGATCAGCCTCTTCGTTCCGATGTTCTACAGAAAACGCCTCTAAAGTCTCTCACAGTGAGACGTTTATTAAAAGGGAATCTTCTCTGGGGGGGTTAGAGCCCCCCTAACAGACCTGAGAGAGAGAGAGCTGTGCTGTGTTTCTCTCTGCAGCATCTCTTTTCCAGACGCGTCTCTCCTGATGAAGTTTCCTCTCTTTACTGAATCACTCTTCACTCATCTTACTGCGAGCCAAAGGGAGGGGCCAAGCGAGACAGCGAGAGAGCGAGAGTGAGAGAGAGAGAGAGAGAGAGAGAGAGAGGCGAAGACCTGAAATGTGGAAAAATCTCAAATCTCCAGCATTCTTCCGATAACTCTCCTACGCCAACATCGCTCCTCCTGTCTTCTTTCCTTTTCCTTTGTTTTGTTTTCCTTTCCTTTCTTTTATTTGACTTCCTTTTTTAATCTTGTTCAGTTTCTCCACTTTTTATCTCCTCTTTTTATGAATCCGTTCAGTACTGCAGTATAGCACTTATTTTATCCGATCCTTTCTGAACGTGTGTATATATTTGAATTCTGCACTTTTCCGTGTCTCCTCTGTTTTTCTGGTCTGGTAGGCTGCAGTGCTTCACCACCGCACAGCTTTCTTTTCTCTTTTAAATGTGTGTTTATGTGTTTTGATCAGTTTTCTTTTTTAAACATGGCTGCTATTCTCTGTCTTTGAACTCTGACCAGAACAAGTTCCTTCTGTGTGAAAACATACTTGGCTAATAACGAATAAAAATCGTTCTGATTCTTTTCTTTTCCTTTTTTTCACTCCTTTTTCCCTCTGAGGTGTGGTTTGGCCTTCTTTCGTTTTTGGCTTCCTCACATTTTTTCCCCTTTCTTCATGTCGTGTTTGTGTGTGCGAGTCTCTGTGGCTGAGTCTCGAATGCCTCCCTGCACAGTGCACTATGTGAGTTATGACATTGTGTCTTCTTCACCCAAGTGATGCCCTGTGTGTCCTGGAGAGAACTGTCCCCATGGGGCAGCGGTAACGGTGGGAACAGCAGTGCTGTGACCCAAACAGGAAACCCGCCGTAGAGCAGACCGTCTTGCTTCGGTTCAGCCTTCGCGAGTCTACGCAGCCTTCGAAGGGTGCAGCCCCTGAATTGGGACACAGCCACTGTTTGGGCGTGGGAGCCATTATTTTAAGATCTATATAAAAAGGATAGTCCTGGTTCTGATTGGCTGAGCCGCGTTCTAAGCCGTATTAGTTATTAGCCAAGTATGTTTTTGCTCGTTAGCTGCTCATTAAAGATTTCCGAGTGAAAGTTTAAGATATTTATTGATTAAGGATGCAATTATTGAGGTAAATGAACGCATTTATTGAGATAAGCTGATGTCGCCAACTTTCGTAATTCGTTCTACGTTTAAGGCACCTCAGCGTAACTGCAGCACCATTTAAGGTGGAACGGACAATTCAAAAGAGAAGCTGGCGAACAAGAAACTCATTTCAGCTTTATATACGAGTTTTGGCAGCTTTAGGAGCCACTTTTATTGGTTTTTGTAAAATCTCACAGATTCAAACGTTCTGAACTCTGGAGATGTGCTGGACGGATCCAGTCAGTCAATCTAGCTGATCTTCTCCCTGTAGTGTTTTCTGCAGACTGCATCTAAAGTGTCCACATCTTTTCACGTTTTTCGTGGTCATTCTGGTCTGTTCTGCTATTTTGCTTTTGGTCATTTGGTCTGTAGCTGCAGTAACGGTGATGAGTCGAGCTCTAGCAGTCAGAGTTATAACTTATCTACCAACATGGTGACGAGTTTATAAGGGTTCTAGGAGGTTGTGACAATGTTGTGGGTACCAAAACAATAGGTTGTTACAACGTTGTGACAACATAACTGTGTTCGCTGGGAGAAAACTGGGAAAAAACACTGAAAACATAATGTTAATTTTATGTTTGCCCATTTGTCCCCATTAAAATAGGAAAAAAGCATTAAATATGAAAAAATATCAATCTTTTATTTAGAGCTGTTAAACATTAAATGGGGTCAAACTGATCCCGAAGATAATAGGAGGGGTAAGAGATGCAGCAGTTAACTGACCGGTGCACCAGCACCAGAGCCTAACAGCAGCACCATGATAGTGATAATGATAGTGCAACAGAAATTTGAATAAGAAGTTGGCAAAAAATGAGCCAATTCCAGCTTCATCCTCTTTTCCACAATGTTCTCTGTAAAACAGTGTTTTTGTTCTAGTAGAATTGTTTATTGCAACCCAAATCATGAAGAAAATGAAGACGAATCGAAGCCGTTTCAGCAGAGTTTGTGCTCACAGCTGCTGCTGAACTGCGCTGGTGTTCAAATCTGCTAGTTAAACTAACTCAGGCTGCTCAAACTCGGACTGTATCACACCAGCCTCCGTCAAAATGCCCCGTGAGCCAATTACGGAGGAAAACACGGAGTCGTCAGAGTCGACGAGTCGACTCCGAGCATTACGACTTTTAGAGTCATTTGCCAAGAGTCGACTCCGACTCCTAGACATGCTGGAGTCGAAGAATCAATTCTTTTGGAATCGACTCCCAATCAGAAGTACGCACTGCGTTCGGTGATTTAACCGTCGCCTCGCAGCAGAAGCAGCTCCGGTCGAGTGAGGCTGCGAGACTGAACTGATCCGTCGTGAGAGTGAGAGCACTTGGATACTTTAGCTGTTTTAAATGAAAAAAAAAGCGGTAGATGAAGCGATAGTTTTGTAGTAAACGTTATGTATGATATTATTTAGACATGCAGCGAAAGCTAACATACAGTATCCGTTTATCTGAAGTATTAGCTTGACTGTCGTTAGCCGTTAGCGAACAAGCTAACGGTGGAGTTTTGAGCTCATTGAGGTTTTCAGTGTTTCTAGCGGTGTTTTGGTGTTAGTTTGATAATGACTGATCTAATCTGTGTCCCTGTTTTCTACAGTTTCTCAGAAATGCTACTGTTTTTTCCAGTAAACTTAACATGAATGTAACTAAATAATGTGCGTTGTACCGAGCTAGGTTAACTAGCTTAGCTTAGCTGGCTAACGGTGGTGATTTAGCCACAGCGATGAATGTCGGATATTTTAGAATAAATTTAGAAGATTTTAATAAAAATGCTTTAATAAAACATGTTTGATATCTGTTCATATGAGGGCAGACACTGAAATGAGGAAAACTGTAATGATTCTGTTTTGGCGAGATTTATTATTTTTACTTTAGAGAGATTTTGACCCAGGTATTCAGTAACTGTCTCCTCCAGATTGTTCGATTACTGCTGTGAGTTATTCAGTAACTACTGAAACATGTCCAGTCACCGCTATAAATTATTCAATAACTTCAAAAACTATTCAGTAACTACTGTGAACCAAAACCAGTCTTACACAGCTATGAGAGTGAGTAACTGAAGTAACTCACAGGGTTTCAGACCTGTGTAGGTTAAAGGGTTAAAGCTCAGCAGCTCAGTTTGGACTTTTTCATGCACCAGATAAAGCAGCCTATACAGCTCTAACCTCACTAATTATCGCCATCCTAATTATCTCCATCGCTCCGTCTGTGTTTGAGTAGAAAAGTGAGGATTTACTGCACAGTGATTTGGTCGATGTGTTTAGATGACCATAACGTGACTTTAAGTTAGTGTGTGTTTGTGTACGAAAGAGGCGGAGTGGGTCCGAAACAGGTTGTTTTCTTGCTCTCTGTAAAATGGTGCTTACTTTTTGTTTGTTTTAGAGTTTTGTCATGCTGTGTATTCAGTTGTGAAATAAGGACTTATTAAATCTCTCTGTCTCTCTCTCTCTCTCCATCTTTCTCTCTCTCTCTCTCATACAAACTCTCGCTTTCTCTCTGGGTCTCACACACTCAGATGCCGGAAAGCTGCAGACGATAATCGAGGAATTTGGCTCCACATGCCCTCAAGGTTACAAAAGACTAAACAGAACACACTGCCAAGGTAAAGTAAGAGTGCGTGGGTGTGCACACGGCAATGTGTGTGTGTATCTGTACTGCCAAGGTGAAATAAAGTGTACGTGTGGGTGTGTGTGTGTGTGTGTGTGTGGACTAGCAAGATAAATTATATGGACGTACATTCCAACTAATTTTGACATTTAAGTATCCGTAAGAGTTCATAAATGGATATCCGGTTAACCGTAGAGAAGTAAAAATGATGCCAAATAAAAAAAAAAACGATGAAACTAATGTAGGTCTGTAGGCTTACTTTTTTGGGTGGCAGCACTTATGGTGCACAAAATTATAGCGATTCAGCATCAGCTGAGGGACATCAGTAGGTTTTCGTATTGGATGAGTGACGGAGGCTGCCTCTTCAGATGAGCTAACATCTGATAAGGACTTGTCATCTGCTACACAAGGTTTTTGGACGAAATGCCAGCATTATTTGTCAGAGAAAAATGTGTTAGTTGATTCGGGACGTGGCTAACATCAGCTAGAGTAGCTACCGTAGTCTTATCTATCTCTCAGTCACGTCCTTAACAACATGTATGTGTTAACGCTCACATTCAGGCACCCTTTGTTTTGGAGATGCACATCTAGCATACCCGCAAATAAGAGCGAAACTGACCCTGAAGTATTGACCCGTATATTTTCTCCATTTTTCCATGACAAAACTTAACAAATACCTGATTTCAGTATTTGAATACTGGCACCTTGAAGAGTTAACCGAGTATTCAGGTACTTGTGCACATCCCTAGGATTAATTAACCCTCTCTCTCTCTTTCTCTCTCTCTCTCTGCAGATATTAATGAGTGTATGATGCAGGGTGTGTGTCAGAATGGTGAGTGTTTGAACACTCGGGGGAGTTTCCGCTGCACCTGCAAACCTGGGTACATACTGACAGACAGAACACGCTGCATAGGTGAGACAAAAACAACTGCTGTTTTAAAAACAATAATTCTTGTTACTTCTAACTGCATTCAGTTTATATTTATCCGAATGTTGTGAAGTTGTGGTAGACAGGTAGATTCACGATACACTGTATATATAATAAGATGTGTTTTTTCTGACATTTCATAACTTGGGAAAGACAAAGTATTGCCACATTTAAAAAATACAACGTCTATGAATGAAATCATTTTGTAATCAAACCTGCAGTTTGTCAGTGTATTGACGATATCCACAGTATGAGCCACGATAGTAGAAAAGCGTGTTGCGACGATGTGACGTAATTTATCACGATAGCAATGAATATTGTCACATTTTCTAGTCCTGTTATATAGTTTTTATGGTCAAAAACACATTTACTGACAAGATTTAAACAGTTTACATGAACTGTAAACATAACTAGTAACTGTCCACGACTGGTTTTCACTTAATGAGCATGCTCTGTTTTTTCTGATTAACGTAAGAGCACGGTATTCCGTACACTTCAGTATTCCGTACACTTCAGTATTCCGTACACTTCGGTATTCCGTACACTTGCAAATATTTCTGTCTGTGTAATAAAAAACACTTTCTTGACATTTGTCAAAGATACATCTGAGACATTGTCATATATCCCTTTTTCCATCAAATCGGTTGGAAAGACCACCTAAGCTGGGTTTGGACATCAAATCTGTGTAAATAGTGACCGACCCCCGGCGCAATGGACCCCCGCACCCGAACATGGTGGGTGGGGAAACCCAGGGATGCGAATGTGAATGGGGTGGGGAAACTTTCACAGCCAGTTAAAATGCATTTTAGCATGTTTAAACATCATATTTAACACTTAAATGAATATTAAACAGTGGATCATCACCATGAAACACAGTATGTTTACTACTGAGTTGTTAATCTAAGTTTACACCGTCAGCTGAGTGACCTTAGCAGACTCCTTTCAGCTGCGCAGCTTCACAGCACTGATCTTTACTGGGCTTTTTTTCATGGTAGGCTCATTCACTGCACATATTGTTTATAATAATTCACTTTTATAATCAGTTAATGTCTATTTTTATGCAATTAGATTTCATAAAACTTCAAATAAAATGCTGGGAAAATACTGTACGGAAAACCGCTCCCTCTGTGGAAGCTGGTGTACGGAGTACTGACAGCACAAATTGCGGACGCAGATGACGTTTTTTTCTTATTTCTTTAAAAGTATTGGTCCAAATGTGACCAATCAAAGTGCATATTGGTTGCTAGGCAGATTTTGCAGAGTCCAACCAATCATTAAATCGTGTATGACTTCGGGTATTTCCGCATAACTACTAAAACGCGAAAAATGCCGAAATACTGTACGGAATACAGCGCTCTTACGTTACATATCTGTGTTTAAAAGTAAGAGAGAGTAATCTATGACTCAAAGCATGATTTTTCACCCTTCCACTGACATATGACATAAATATCACACACCAGTGATGTATGACATAATTGTCTTTTGAGAATGTAAGTGAATTGTTCGCTATTGTCATCATACCTTCATCAGTATAATGAGTGCTTGGTTATGTATCCTCCATACAGATATTCTGGTATCGGTGTTTTAACGATGCTGATTATTAGTTTCAGCTGTATTGATAAATAACAAAAACTGATTTGATAGTTTTAATTTTTTTAATATTAGTATAAGGTTGATTTTCCATTTGAGACCCAAACATTGAGCTGGACCTTCTTTTTAGTCTGTGCTTGTGACGTTACTACATAAAGACCTATGACATGGTCCAAAAAACTGCAAAATCTGATCCGACATCACTGACTTCTGAATTATTACTTCAAGCTTCACAGGGCGTCTCACTGCTGCACACACCATGTTTTAGCCTGTTTTTAGTCTTTACTCTAACTAAAGCTACTTGAGGTGTAGCAAGAAATCTTACATAGTGCGGCTTTAATTACCAGTGAATGCAAAATCCAGTACTGGAAATCAGATTCAAGGTCTGGGGTTGAATACGTCTGTGACTGAGGTTGGGCTGCTGTGTGTTCTGTGTGTGTGTGCAGCGTCCCAGATGGAGCAGGGTCCGTGTTATCGCATGCTGACGCAGGCGGGGCGCTGTGAACTCGCTCTGTCCACCAACCTCTCTCGAGAGATCTGCTGCTGCACCGTAGGAAAAGCGTGGGGCAGGAACTGTGAGAGGTGTCCACAGGACGGCACCGGTCAGTGGGTGTAATAATAATAATAATAATCACGACATAGTAACATACATTTACTGAGCACTTTATTAGGAACACCTCATTGTTTCTACACTCATTGTCCATTTTATCAGCTCCACTTACCGTATTTGAGCACTTTCTACTTATACAATTAGTCCATCTGTTTCTCTGCATACTTTGTTAGCCCCCTCTACTCTGTACTTCAAAGGTCAGGACCACCACAGAGCAGGTACTATTTGGGTGGTAGATCAGTCTCAGCACTGCAGTAACACTGACGTGGTGGTAGTGTGTTAGTGTGTGTTGCACTGGTACGAGTGGATCAGACACAGCAGTGCTGCTGGAGTTTTTAAACACTGTGTCCACTCACTGTCCACTCTATTAGACACTCCAACCTTGTCGGTCCACCTTGTAGATGTAGAGTCAGAGACGATAGCTCATCTGCTGCTGCACAGTTTGTGTTGGTCATCCTCTAGTCCTTCATCAGTGGTCACAGGACGCTGCCCACAGGACGCTGTTGGCTGGATATTTTTGGTTGGTGGACTATTCTCAGTCCAGCAGTGACACTGAGGTGTTTAAAAACTCCAGCAGCACTGCTGGAGACGATCCACTCGTACCAGAGGGTCCTGACCATTGAAGAACAGGGTAAAAGGGGGCTAACAAAGAACGCAGAGAAACAGATGGACTACAGTCTGTAATTGTAGAACTACAAAGTGTCCTTTATGGTAAGTGGAACTAAAAAATGGACAGTGAGTGTAGAAACAAGGAGGTGTTCCTAATAAAGTGCTTGGTGAGTGTTATGCTTGTCATATAGTGCTGGATTATATATAATCTCTTCAGATATTCTGGTATTGGTGTTTCAGCGACATTGATATTTAAATTCTGCTGTATTGAAAAATAACAAAAACTGATTTGATAGTTTGATAGTTAACTGTAAAGTAGGTCGTTTGCTGGCTGCTGGCTTTTTTTCCATTCTCTGGGGAAACTTATGATTTTGATAATTTTAAGATTTTCTTTCATGCTCTTCATCTCAACCTCATGGCTCTTAAGTGTGTCATCCTCTTCTCTCCAGGGAGCAGAGATTTTTGAGATATACCCTTTTCTATGGCTAGACTGTGGTCAGTATCTGCCCTTTTCTATGGCCCAGCTGAGCCCACACTTGGTTTGGATTAGTCTCTGCTTTGTGTTTCTGACAGAAAAGAGATACTCAGAAGATTCGTCTTTTCTTTTTATGGCCCAGCAGCACTGTAATTTAGATTACTGGGTTTTGGTGGTGTTGTCCCATTTTATTTGGTTTGTCTGATTAAGCTTACTTGACAGTTTGGGACAGTTACAAAGAGCGTAGTCAGTGCCAGAGAGCAGGATAACCAAAACAAGAGGGACATCTAGAAAAAAACCAAATCCAGTCCAGGATTGAAGACCAAGAGAGCAGATAATACATAGCAATCCAATCCAAAAGGGCAAACACGAAACGGCAGGTCACAAACACAAAAAACAGGTCATACACAAAAAGGCTTTTCAGACAAAAGGCCGCTCAGCATGCAACAAAAAGGGTTGGCAACACTTCTCAAAGAACCAAACTAAAGCCTGGGCTTTTATACTAACAAACTAATGAAATGACAAACAGGTGTGAAGATGAGAATTCTAGTAAGGAAGAATGCTGGAATGAATGTTCATTGGTTGATGGTGGTCACTGTTTCTTCTTTTCTTCATCGTTGTAACATTTGCAAACTGAACCAGGTGCTCGCAGACGAGGCTAGTTTTGTGAGCTTTATTTACAAAGGGGCAATCCAGAAAAAAAAACCCACAACAGCAAACGGACAAGGCAAAAAACAGGGTCAAAAACAGAAAACAGGTCATACACGATAACAGGCTTATAGACATGGAGAAAGGCTTGGTATGCCCAACAAATGGTGACAATACTTCAAAATGAACAGATGCAAACAGACAGGTTAAATACACATGGGAACAGGTGATTAGAAGTCCTGAGAGGCTGAATGGTGAAAGGAGGATCACAGTGAGTCCTGAGTCATGTGAGGGAACGAGGGGTTCTAGGAAATGCTGTCAGAGGCGGCTGAGTCGGCTGTAATTCCAGCCGGGCCGGAGGGAGGCGTGACAATTATTCAGAATTTGTAGTGTCAAATTTTGACATTTGATTATGGTCTCATATAATCATTTGAGTCTTCTTGGTTTTCTCAGCCAAACTTTCCAGCCTTTTTTCTCTTCTGCCCAAAAACTGAAAGTGGCACTTTTGAGCATTTTTGCCTGAAATGTTTTGGTGCATCCCTAATTCACATTCTTACATTTGGGAGACGCTCTTATCTACAGCGACTTATGGTGTTAATACTGTCACCACTGCAGGTAAATGTAGCATTAGGAATCTATGGACTCTTAGTGGTCGAACTCCAGTCTGGTAAAGCTTTCTTGAACTAAAAAAATCGAATCAGGTCTGTTTATGTGCGGTTGGAGCGCTCTCATCTTCTGCTCTCAATTTCAGCCATGAGTTTCTTATTAGCATGATTAGATGCTTGCAGTGTTTATGGCACTTGCACTGGTTGAATCCACAGTCAAAGTGTGGGAAGGTCCTGTATGTGTTCTTCTCCCTCAAGGATTCTGTTTCTTTGTTGCCAGGAGTTGTTGGGTTTGTCATTCACACATAATGACTTAAAGTTGTCATCATGTCTCTCCCTCTCTCTGTTTCTCTCTCTCTAGCCTCCTTCAGTAAGATCTGTCCTGCGGGGAAGGGCATGTCCGTCCTGCATTATCACGGCACTCTGTCCATCCAGCCCTTCCAGACAAGCATAGAGCAGAGCCCGGTCTTTCCAAAATCTGAGCAACCAGGTGAGACATGCATGCAAACAAGTTTTCCTTGAAATGTACAGCATAACCACCTAGAAGCAGCACTAACATATAAAATAAACGTGAATAAATTGTGGCATTTTTGATTTTTTTATCTCTAATATCTACTCAGTAAATATCTGCACAGATACTGCCCAACAGTGTCCAATGATCTGAGGCCATATTACAGAAACTTCTTAAGTCTGAGATCATATCTTATCTGCTTTGTTGTCATGGCAACTTCAGTTAAGACTAAAGTTAGGACAGAAGCCATTACAGAACAACAGTTATAAAGTCTATTATCTTATTTCCAGATGAGAAAACTGTGTTACAGAAACATCCTAAGTTGCCAAAATATCCTAAATACTTTCTTAACTTCAACCCCAGAGCGACTTAACTTCTGTTTTAATCGTCTGTTTCTATTGTTTAATGCAGTGACAGCAGCACAGGTCACTATAACCAGCATAATGACGCTACATTTATTTACACTGAAAACGGTGCTTTGACTTGGGTTTTTTTTTAAACAGCGTTTTTCAAGAACTCATATGCTGCAGACACGATGATCTCCCCCGTCCCCTCTTATTACCGTCGGGTGTTAATGTTTGATAAAAACTCGTCAGATAAAATATTACAGTGATGGTGGTGAATAACGAGGAGACTGAACGATGTATCTGTTTATTAGGAGTAATAACGTTAGCGCGGTCAGCTAAAGCGTTGGGGAAATGAAACTGAAACTGGAGACAGCAACTCTGATAAACAGCACAGAGCACTAAAACAATATTATTAACTTTCGGTTTATCGCGCTTTAGTTTTGTTTGACCTTTTTTACATCAGTAACGGTAGCTAATGTTAGCTGTCTGGCTAACTAACTAGATTACGTGTTTACGTTCCAGCTGTGTGCCTGTGGTTGGTTGCTAGGTAACAGACACGACAGTTCATTGTCGACTTCAATCGAGTAAGTTAAGATTTCCTAACTCGAGATGAGAAAAGATGCTGTAAGATAAGATAAGATTCCTAAATTAAGAAAAGATTTACTACCTCCCGAGTGGCACAACCGTCTAAGCGTTGGATCCCTGGTGATGCTACAGCCATCCGTAGCTGGGAGTCCAAGAGAGCACAATTGGCCTCACTCTCCCTGGGTGGGCCCCCCTTCTCCCCCATCACTCAACGCAATGCGAGTCAGCGCAGGCTGTTGGTGCTTTCCTCCGAGCGCGTTCAGCTGTCCAATGACGTTGCGTGAGCGGCAGTTCGAAAAGATGTGGTGGCGCTTTACAGGTCTCGGAGGAAGCCTGTGTTAGCCTTCGCCCTCCTAGCGTTGATAGCATTGTGTGATTGGGGGAGTCCTAACTAGCGGGGGGAAAGGGAAACGACTAAATTGGGGAGAAAATTGGGTTAAAAAAAAGATCATAAACTGTCTGTTTAAGTAACCAACATACTACAGTAATGTTTGATACTGTGAGGTTATTTCTCTTTGTTTATATTTTAATTTTATGATTACTAGCTTTCTAGGAGCTACCCTTGATTTCCATTCACATCAATTTTATCGGCAAAACGATGACATATTTGAGGAGCTGTAGCACGTGCTGATGTAGATTAAGCAAACATTAGCTAAAAATGGTTAATTAGCTGTGGGTGCTCATGTTGTTGGTAGTTTTACTTAATTAAATACACTCTGTGTTTTTGTTATATTGATAAATGTACTGAATCAAATAACGCAGTGATGTACATTCTGGTCAGCCGATATAATAAGATCAGTGTGGTCATCTCATATGTTTATTGTCTTTTTTGTGTTCTGTTACAGAGCTCCGGCTGCCGGTAAGCGTCAGACTTCTTTCTTCTGAAACTGTAAACACCAACATCAGAAACATCATAGATCTCTTTTTCTCTTAAGTCGATTTCTGATGTGTCTTCGTTTCTCATCAACAGGAAGTGCACGTCCAGGTGACCACGCCCATGCAGCTTTTACCAGCCAGCACTCATGGCCCCCGAGTACCAGGTTCTTTCTCTTTTTCTTTTTTTGTTCTCAGTCTAATGTTCTCCTTCTCTCAGTTGCTATGTTTTTGCTCTCTTTTTCCTCTCCAGTTCCCTCTTTTTTTATTTCCCTCTCCCTTTTCCTTTCTTCCTTCTCTCTCTGTTCTGTATTCTTTCTCAATCTTTCTCTCTGTGGCTGATGTTCTTTCTCTCTGTTGCTTCCTGTACCTTTTTATTTAACGTGACCCCTCCCTCTCCCCTTTGTCTCCCTCTCTTTTGGTTAGTTTTGGTTCCCAGGCCGACAACACGCCCCATAATCCGTGTGCCACCGGAGCCTGATTCGCTGGAGGTGGCGCAGACGCAGGTCTCGCGTGAGTTCCATGGCAATCATCCATCACACTTCAGACTGATAAATCACTGACCATTATTAGGGATGTAAAAATAGAGCAGTGCATCTGGAGGTGTTGAGGCAAGTGCACTGATTTATAAAGGTTAGAATTTATTTTAACTGATTGTAGTAATGTTCAATAAAAATGCAGTTCTCAGGCTCAGTTCCCATCTTCAGTTAAAACAGTAAAAAAGCTTGGTATATTGTTTCTATTGTCTATATTTCACCATTCATAATTGTGTGTAACAGTACATTACCATCTACCGTATTACACTCATTGACCAATTTATCAGAAACAGCTATCACATTTACCCACTTTGAAGGCAAACTGAAAGAAGTGATTCATCAAACTTGCTTGTTTCAAGCAAATCATTTGTATTTTTCAAATGAATAAACAAAATTACATCATCAAAAATGTCTTTTACTCATGTTTGCCAATCATTATGTTGATATAATATATATTTTAGGTGCGCACATTTAAGTCAAGTAAAATTCAGTGCACTACTTTTAAGTGTATGCAGTTACAGAAAGTATCCCATCTGTTGCTACTCAGTTTGTCAGCCACTGTCTACACTGGCTCTCAGTGGAACGGGACCGCCATAAGACCTCCAGTCTCATTTTCTTCCTGTAATTTACTAACAAAGTGTTCATAAACTACCAGAAAAATCAAGACATATAATAGACAGTGTGATTGTTTGGCACTGCTGTTGTCTCTAGTAATATTATAAGCAGGTCAAATAGCAGGAAAATTAATATTTTTAGTGTCAACAGTTTTTTATTATTCCAATAAAAAACACAGCAAAAAGGCTAAACCTCTTGCCACACCTGTGTTTTTGCCTGTTGGCCGTTTGGTGGAAAGAACCAGCAGGTCAAACACACATGCGTAAAATAGCACCGTTCTCCTGGTTGCCGTAGCATTACTGCATGTTTAAAATCCCTGTTGTTCTCTGTTAAATGCAGTTTCACAATCGCAGCTTTTCTAAAACTTGGTGCCAGGATTGGCCAAGTGCCCCCTGTAGTTGGTGCCTATATTTCAGTGTATTGTGAATCGTGAAGATTTCAGATTTCATAATGTACTAAATTGGTTCTTAATGAATCGTAATTGAACCAAATCGTTGTAAGGTCAGATATTTACACTCCTACTGACCACATGCGTTCTTCTGCACTCTGAAATTTGTGTGCACTGGCGTGTGTGTTCTACAGAGACGGACGAGTGCAGACTTAACAGGAACATCTGTGGTCACGGCCAGTGTATAAACACACAGAACGGTTTCATGTGTCACTGTGAGGCTGGGTACCGCTCGCACGCTCAGAGAAAGAGCTGTGTAGGTGAGTGTACACACACACACACACACACACACACACACACACAGTTGTCTTAATACATGTGAAATATGCATGACTTTTTGAGTGTACACTAAAGATCTTAGGCATGTAATCATATTGTTTAAAATAATTTATCTGGACAATAAAAGTGTTTTTACAAGTGAAAACTTGTAAAACTAAAAAAAAAGAATGTCTTCAAAAAGTAGTTGAGATGTTGTGAGCTGATTGGAAGAAAAGTGATGCTCCCAGCAATCACATGGGTGTGTCAATCAACAGTACTGTTGATGTAACTCGATGAAGTACTGAGTAGCCAAACCAGATACTGTACGATAACTATGAATAATAGTGGGCTTCTTCAGGGGGAAGTTTAGAAATTAAACACTCACATTGATGTACATAAAATCACTAATTGTGTATTAATGTTATTTGTATTTATTGTAATATTAGTGTTTTTTGAGCAAATAAAGTCTTACTGCCCAAATGAATAACTTTTTAAATATCATTTTCACAGGGGCCTGAAATTTTTGCACAGCACTCTATATGAACAAAGAATCACACAAACGCACACGCGGAGGAATGTTTCGGCTTTAGGTCTTTAATTGGCTCTGAGGGATACTGCTGAGTTTAAGAGCACAGTCAATGTGTTCTCTGAGGCTGGGAGTCCAGACGGGACTGTAAAAAAGCGTTTATTAACTTTTGTTCTCTGTCTTTCTCTCAGTTTAGTATAGTTGAGTTTAGCTTCATTGGCCTCCTGTATTGCATAAGTACGTAAAGGTTAATCAGAGTTTTTTGTAATGTAAATGATTGCAGTTTGGACGATTGGAAAGGTGAATATGTTTACAGTGTCCTCCTGAATATATTGACACACTTGGTGAACATGAAGGTGTTGTACACTAATCTATGTATATCTTAATTTGTGTGTATGTTTCTCTGCCTCCCTCCTTTTTCTCTGTAGATGAGAATGAGTGTGACTGGGAGCCGTGTGGTCAGGGCAGAGGGACCTGCATCAACACGGTCGGCTCATACCGCTGCAACTGTCACCCTGGCAACAAACTGGTGGTGCATCATGGAAAGCGCCGCTGTGTAGGTGAGTGATAACTGTTGATATGCTTGTGTGTGTGTGTGTGTCTAATGTCTAAGTGAAGCACACTGGTCAGGCTGGCACCTGTATTTGCAGTCAGTGACGTATATGGGACTTTCAGAGGCCTGGAGTCGTGTTTTTTTTCACAAATTTTATCCCACACATTGTAAATCAAACCATGATTGGTCAATTACACTGTCGCTTGCTAATTATGTTAGTGGCTAACCTGTTAGGTGTTCAGTTCAGCTCCTGAAATCTTAACCAGTGGGAGAATTAGTTTGGCTGAATCTACTTAGAGACCACAGAAAAAAGAAATCCTGATTGGATCATTTTTTGTTGTGTATAACGATTTTTTTGCTTCCAACCAGAACTTAACAATAAAATAATTATTACTACAATACTTGCAGCCAGCATGATGTTCCAGTTATCTGAAAGCTTAGAAGGCCCTGAGGGTTCCCTGCTGTCAGGGCCGTAACTTTAGGTCCATTTTGCAGAAACGTGACTTACCTGACCTGGTAAAGAAACTGACTGCCAAATATGAGTAATAAACCAACCGTAAGTTTCTCCTTTAGAGGATTTTTTTTTTGCCAAATCATTGCTCCTTTTTTTTACCCTTCTATAACTGTTATGAATCTTTTCCTTTTATTTATTCCTCCCTCATCCCTCTGTTTTCCATAAACTGCAATTACTCGTCCATAAACTGATTTGACTCGTTGTCCTGTTGAAGTTTATTTAATTAATCATGTAACTATTTATGTTTATTTTGAGAAAATAGCCGGGAATATTTTTTAAAAGCTACACTAAATGAAGTGATGGTTTCAAACTGATTTTATTTCAATTACCTTTCTCTTTCTCTCTCTCTACCTCCCTGCCTATCTGTCTTTCTTTGCTGGTCTCTTTTGCATCTTTGTTCTCACTGATTACTGAAAAAGCACACATTAAAAATACGCTATAAAGGTAGCCTATAGCAAGTGTGCTGCATACCTGAACGTCTGAAGTCACAGTCACTCTGGTTCTCTGGGTAGTGTAAGTTAGGGGCTCGAACAGAGTTAAACAGTGCGAGCAGTTAAGTCTATGGCCGAGCCACAGCTGTGCTGAGGTCAGCTGAGAGCCAGTCACTGCTCATTCAGTATTAATGTCGCTTTTTCCACACTGGATCTCTTAAAACCCTTCCGAATCCCTCTGAAACTACCAAGGTCCAGACCTCGGTGTCCTCATAGCTAGTTACGGCCAAGCCCACTGTAAAGGATGCCATTGTGACAAAAAAAATTGGCCGACCAGCTTCTATAACATGTCTAGACTGTCTTATTCACTGATTATCAGTTATGTTGTAACCAGGATGGCTGAATATTCGTACATCTATTTTACATGCCTGTATTTCTACTTCAGACACTCGTATTGTGAGTGATTTACGAAAGTGAAAGGGGATCTAGTGGCTCAGGGAGGCATGACTCATGTAATAGTTCTTGGCCCCTGCAAGCTGTCAGTTTTAATCAGCAATGTGAATGTATTTGGTTGACGTGTTTCTTTTGGTTGCTTTTCAGATATAAACGAGTGCTCCAAACCGGATATCTGTGGTATCGGAGGACACTGTGTGAACCTGCCGGGCTCGTATAAGTGTGAATGTCTGGCAGGCTTCAGGAGCAAATCACGAAGACAGCCTGTGTGTGAAGGTGAGAGCACACACACACACACACACACACACACACTGTGATTGTTCATTTAGAGTTATTGTTGTATTTCTGTACATTCAATGTACAGTTAAATGTTTTATGTACATTTATTATATGTAATTACATAATTAGTTAGATATGTGGTTACATTTAAATCATTTAAATAAAGCACGTATTTAAATGCACCTCAGACCTTTTTATGTTTGTTTCAGTGTCAGAAAATGACAAGAACCAGATTATTATCCACAGTGTGGTTCAGGGCCCAGGCTGACAAATTCCACACCATGTCCATAATCATAGGAAAAAACAGGCAAGAGAATCAGTGCAGATAAACAGAAAAAAACGCAGCTGACGGACTAGAATAAACAAAGAACACTAGAAAACAAGGAACATGGCTAGGAATTACAGCATAAGAATACATGCAAGGCATTGCAGTCAACACAGGAAAACAACAGGGTTAAATACCAAAGTCAGAGTGATCTTTATCGTCATTTCTTCCCATCACAGACGTGTTGAGAGAGGAACAAAATGTTCTTTCTCCAGGACACGATGCTACGTTTAAACACAGAACAGCAGCATAATAAACAGTACAGACGGACTGTAACTACAGTAAATACAGACAAACTATACTATGAATTCTTCTGTACAGTAGACACCAATTATACAACTGTATAACCATTAAGCACAATGTAAAAGAGAAATTAGACCAGCTGTTGGAGCGTGTATTTTTATCAATGCCCTGGTATTTAATTAACAGTAGACGGTAGTGCTTTGTAATATTTTATCACTTAGAGTCAAGTATTTCCACGAAATCTCTTTGATACAGTTTACTAGAAACACCTTATACCTGTATTCATTCATTATTTTATTATAAACATTTAGAATTTTAAAAAATCCATATGACAGTATTTTCAAATAAAAATCACAATATCAGTATGAGATGATATGTAAATTAGAATTGATTAAGTTAAATAATGAATAAAGAGCCCGTTCTTTCTAAATGCTGTTTCTCTATGCTAAAAGAACATCCTGCAAAGCTGACAACAGCTTGTTTAATTAGGACTGTTTTGTTTTCTTCCCCTAAAATTACACCAAATGGATCTTTACACAGTATTGTAGATCTTATCCAGATGCAAACAACATTTCAGTTAAAAAAAAAAGTTGTTTGGATTTTAAAACATTTCTTTCCAAAAAAATCAGAAGCATCCACAAATGCATTTCAGTTCAGTGTCAGCGCCTGGATCCAGAGAGTAAAGTGACCAAAACAGAAATGGAAAACCAAAAATAAGTCATCATGGATATAAAGCCTGTTATTTATCAGCCTTTTCTAGATCACTGTACCAGTACCAGCTCACTTACACTGAAGCATTCATTTTTTTTGATACATCATTTTTATGCAGCAGATTGTCCAGCAATACGGTGATGTAATATACCATTGGAAAGCTTGAAATCTCAGGATTCGGTTCCCACAAACGATTTTATGATCCGTTATTCACAGCAGTAATGATCGTCTCATCTGCAACATAAGCACCGAAGAGCAAATGCCAACATGTCTTTGGTTCCTCACCTTCGAAGCCTTGCCGCTTTTCACAGAGACATCATAACCCAAAACGTGGGCTGCAGTTAAAAGGTTAAACTATATTTTTAAAAATGCCAGTAAAACTAAAAAGCAGTATTGTGGCGTGTCAGTCACACCATGATACCTGCATATCTGTACAGACAATGTGTTGTACAGCACTAGCATTTCTGTATAGGTGGACTTTGTAGGTCCACTGAAAGTGAAAGTATTTACTTGGTTCAGTTGTGTAACTCTGACATGACAGTGCCATAGTAGTGTGTGTGGCGCCAGTTCAGTTAAAACTGTGGAGATTCAGTCTAATCATTAGTTTTTGTCTAAAAAATATCCAGCATTCATTCAGATATAGAGCCAAAAACGTACGATGTTCATAGAGATGTGACTTTTCATGCTTGTTAAAATGGAATTAAAAGATTTGTCCTCTCAGACAGATAGTGGACTGCATAATGAAAACTTACACACCACACCAAACATACACAATGTAAGACTAAACTGTTTTCCATCACGTACCATTTAAAGGGCTCATTTGGTGGAAAACCACATTTTCAAAATATACCATTCACTTCACAGTCCATACAGACCATAAGCTGCAAAAGCAGCCCGTTTTAAACTCACTGTTTTCTGTGGTCAACACATTTCCGTACATCCAACTACACGGCATACAGCAGTTTAGCCCCGCCCATCCACACTGAAGCTATAAGGAGTGTTTCAGTTCTGAGTGCTTTTTAAGTGAGATGTAATACAGACCGCGAGTCAGACCAGAGCTTATTTATATATATCAGTCTCAAAGGCACAGTAACTGAAACAGTCTGTTTAATTCTAAGGGATAAAGAGAGGACGGAAAACGCTCACGTTAAAATGAATTATGACAGCTTTTGGGACATGAGCTCACTCAAATGTTAGGAGTGGACCTCAGGACAAAATGCAGGATGTGGGCCTAACGTATTTTCTTTTCATGTCATGATATATTTCTGAATAAAACACAGTGTCAGGGAGAGGATCTGAACTAGCTGAGTGTTTTCTCTCAGTAATTGGTGGGGGCGGTGGGAGAGGGAGGTGAAACGTGATATTACTGGCTCATTTTATTTTGCCTCATTCGTTGGTGCACAGAGACGTAATCAAAACTCTGACGTTTTAGAGGCGAGTCACAACACTTCGATCAGAGATAGTGTCTTTAAATGATCTGAGATGATGAGTTTTGCTTAATATGACCAGAAAAATGAACTCATGAACTAACAAAATTTTATTTCAGGTTTACCTTAAAGTCACTTGTTATAATTTGTTTTTAATCCTCTAATTGAATTCTTTTTCTGGATCTCTCTTTCTCCAGATATTAATGAGTGTTTGGACCCCAGTGCATGTCCTGATGGCCAGTGTGAGAATACTGTTGGGTCGTATGAGTGTATTCCCTGCCAGCCTGGACACCAGGCACAAGGAGGAGTGTGTTATGGTGAGAAGACACACACACACACACACACACACACACACACACACACACACACACACACACACATTTTTGTTTTTTAGTAATATTGAATATTTTCTAGCATTACAGTGAATTCTGAACTGATTTGTCAGAAATCCAAGTAATTCCAAATTGCCTGTCGTTGTCGTGAGTTTAGCAGTTGAGCAGTTTAGAATAGCAGTGCTGAATGAGGACAACAGTACTTAATTGGGTTTTAAACTTTGCTTAAAGGCATCACCTCTCCTATTTAACATTTGACATAGAAAATCTGTTTCTAGGCCCTCCTACATTTAAAATATGAAAACTGAAGTTGTTTTCCTTTATAGTACTATTTAGTTTTGGTTTGTGTTACAGTGGTCATCGTAGTTTTGATTGAATTTAGTTTTGTGCGTAGCTGTTGTTTTACTCCTTTTATTCATTGTTGTGATAGTTTACAGTATCAACTCTGAAGCACAAGCTTTCACAGAAACTATCATAGTGCCTTGACTAACGAAAACAGCATGGAGCTTTTTTCATATAGTGATAAAAAAACTCCAATTGCAAATACTGGTCCATTTTACCGTGGCAGGCATGGACACGCACGCCAGAATAAAGCAAAACATGACGCACTGAAGACGTATTACGCTGATTTATGTTGGTCATTTTCAGTAACAGATTTCCTCAGGACATAATTATAGTAAGCGATGTGTTCATGTTAGTAATGTGTGTGTGTGTGTGTGTGTGTGTGTGTGTGTGTGTGTGTGTGTTTTAGTAGCTGTAAAGCAGGCTGTCAGGTAATTAAAGATGGTAGTGACAGTGACATCCACCTGGGGAATACAGTAATAACACAGTGCTCAGTTCTACAACACACACTCACTGCCAAAAGCCTTACACTGTGATCACATCAGCAGGCAGTAGGCTTGTGATATTGTGTGCAGTGTGTCATCATCAGATTGTGCCCCCAATCCGTCGCTGATTGCAAGTTGCTTTTAAAAAACTGCATTTTCACTGCGCACAGAAAAAGGATCCGTAACTACAGACTGCTGGCTGCTTCTTATGCTGAGTATTTCAGCACAGCTGCTTATGTGGCTACAAGGCATTACCGGCCGTGCCTGCTTAACTGGGAGAAATTAAACAGACTTTCTGATCAGAAACGTTGATCTTTGTCAGAAGTTAACTTCGTTCTTGGTTTAGGTTGGTAGGTCTTGATATGGTTTGGTAGTTTTTAGTGTGGTTTGTAGTTCTAGGTATGGTTTGGTAGTGTTTAGTATGGTTTGATCAGTCATGATATGGTTTGGTAGTTTTTAATATGGTTAATTGTTCTTGGTATAGTTTAGTAGGTCTTGGTATGGTTTGGTAGTTTTTAGTGTGGCATGTAGTTCTTGGTATGGTTTGGTAGTTTTTAGTGTGGTGTGTAGTTCATGGTATGGTTTAGTAGTTTTTAGTGTGGTGTGTAGTTCTTGGTATGGTTTGGAAGTTTTTAGTATGGTTTGTAGTTCTTGGTATGGTTTGGTAGTTTTTAGTGTGGCGTGTAGTTCTTTGTATGGTTTGGTAGTTTTTAGTGTGGTGTGTAGTTCTTTGTATGGTTTGGTAGTTTTTAGTGTGTTGGTGGTAGTTCTGTGGTATGGTTTGGTAGTTTTTAGTGTGTGGTGTGTAGTTCTTTGTATGGTTTGGTAGTTTTTAGTATGGTTTAGTAGTTTTTAGTGTGGTGTGTAGTTCGTGGTATGGTTTGGTAGTTTTTAGTGTGGTGTGTAGTTCTTTGTATGGTTTGGTAGTTTTTAGTATGGTTTAGTAGTTTTTAGTGTGGTGTGTAGTTCGTGGTATGGTTTGGTAGTTTTTAGTGTGGTGTGTAGTTCTTTGTATGGTTTGGTAGTTTTTAGTGTGGTGTGTAGTTCTTGGTATGGTTTGGTAGTTTTTAGTGTGGTTTGTAGTTTTTGGTGTGGTTTAGTAGTTTTTAGTGTGGTGTGTAGTTCTTGGTATGGTTTGGTAGTTTTTAGTGTGGTGTGTAGTTCTTTGTATGGTTTGGTAGTTTTTAGTATGGTTTGTAGTTCTTGGTATGGTTTGGTAGTTTTTGATGTGGTGTGTAGTTCTTTGTATGGTTTGGTAGTTTTTAGTATGGTTTGTAGTTCTTGCTGTAGATTTAGTAAACTGTGTTTGGCGCCTAAAATCACTTCTTATTACAAAAATAAAATGGCTAAAGTGTAACCATGTGAAGAAACCTAAAGGCCACTGTTACTGTAGCAGTCTTTTAACGTAACGAGCCCTCGTTTATGTTTTGTGAGGGAAGCCATTCTGTGTGTGGCTGCTGCACAACTTTATCAGTTTAACAAGCAAAACAACGGGAGAAAAGATTTACCTCACACTGCATAAATGTTCTAAAGCCAGACAACATATCAGAGCTGATTCAGGACATGAACTGACGTTATACATTGAAAATAAAACTGAGATAAACATAATTACTTTTGTGCGTATTAAAACCACAGACAGTGTTTTCAGACATTTATATCATTCAACTTGATAGACAGTTGCAATAGATTGAAACTATCTGCTCCCCTTTCCTATGAGATCACCTGATTTGCAGCTGTGATTTAGTGATAGGGCGAGAAACAATAAATGGACCTGATTGTGGATTCAAGCTGATTGTGGAAAAGATTGTGGATTTTCTCAACTTTATGAAAATGAATTGTGACGTGATGAGCAGCAGTCTAAACGACTAGCTCCCACAAAGTCCTCTTACCTGTGCTAGACTTGAGGGTCCCCAGCCTCCACTCTCTGAATATTTTCTTCCTGTCAGTGTTTTATTTCTATTCCCAAAAGTATCTCACAAAAAATGTAAGACAAACTTGTAAACCTCTAAACTTGTGATAGAAATGTACAAAGCCAAATGGACAAAAAGCAAGGCCTTAAACACACAAGCGGCAAACTTAGAACATTAACAAATTGTCTCGCTCGTAATGTGAATGTACAGTTACACTGCCTTTGTCTTCATAACGGCAACAGCAGAATCACTAACAGTTTAATGAAGGAAAGTCCAGAGTAGCATCACAATTACACTGTGAACACTGCGAGTCTTATAGGGTTTGTGTGTGTGTGTGTGTGTGTGTGTGTGTGTGAGAAAGAGAGAGAGAGAGAGAAGGGCCTGTATTTTTGTGTTTAAGGACGGCATTCTCCAAACTTCAGTGACTGGACCAAATCAGTTATGCTCCATAAATCACATGGAATCATGCATATATATATGCACACAAGCTGCTCTCACTTACGTTAGAGAAAAAAGAACACCTGCACTCCTCTCATTCTGCTTCTGTTTCTCTCTTACAGATGTGAATGAGTGTCAGAAGAGAGGGGTGTGCATGAATGGCCGTTGTGAGAACCTGCCGGGGACATACCGCTGTCTGTGTAACGAGGGTTTCCTGCCCGAGGCCGACAGCAAAGGCTGCAGAGGTCAGCAGCACGCGATGGTGACATCACACTATGCTTTCACACAAACCGGGGCGGTCTTTGCTCTACCTGCCCTAACTAACAAGACCCAGTGCATCATTATTATCTGCAGTAAAGTTTTAAATCCAACTTTTTGTGTGTGGCTCCTCAGATATTAACGAGTGCGAGGACAACCGTCTGTGTGCTAATGGCCGCTGCATAAACACAGAGGGCTCATTCCAGTGCCAGTGTTACCCAGGATACCAGCCCACCCAGGAGGGCAGCCACTGTGAGGGTAAGTATGCTAACATGCTGACACTACCGAACTATTAATTCCATTGCATCCTGTCTAATCCTAGAGTGGGACAAAGTGGAATGTCTCATTTCTGTTTAATGTTTCAGTTACATTTATAAACGCATTTGATCTGAATTTGCCAGCCGTACCACACTGGTATCAGCAGTAAGTGTTCTGTGGTGACGAAGTATAAAGCTTGTGCAGGGCAGGCGAAACAGTGAAGTCCAGGCAAAAAGAGTCCTATTTACTGTGTTTAATCTGTTTAATATACATTATTCTTCAGATATTAATGAATGTGAGCGTGCATCAAACTGCCAGAGGGGGCGCTGCATCAACACCATGGGCTCCTACCGCTGTGAGTGCCAGAAAGGATACATGCTTGTCAGCGGACGCAGATGCCAAGGTACTCACACAAACACACACACACACACACACATAAATGTGTGCCTAAGCTTGTAGATGTTCACACTCATCATTTGAAATAATGATCAATACATTTGTCTCATTTCTCTCTCTTTCTCACTTTCTTCATCAGACATAGACGAGTGTGAGGTGGATAGGAGTTTGTGCCAGCCTCATGGAGTGTGTGAGAACCAGCAGGGGGGTTATATGTGTGTGTGCAATGAAGGCTTCATTTTATCTGAGGACAGACACAGCTGTGAGGGTAAGTGTGTGTGGGTGTGGGTGTTTGAGCAAAACCATTTCTTTTTGTTACTGAGGACAAGGTTGTGGTTAAATTTAGGTCTCAGCTCAAAAAAATTCTTATTACAAATAGGTACATGCAGACAAAACAATATATATATATATACATATATACACATATATATTATCTATATATATATATATATATATATAGAGAGAGAGAGAGAGAGAGAGAGAGAGAGAGAGATACTTATTACGTAGAGATACATCACAGGAGAATGAGAAAACGTTTTTAAAAATATTTTATCCATTAACCGTTTCTGTTTGTCCATTCATTATGAAATGTTAATATACTGTAAAGGACAAATGGCATTTTCAAATTTAAAAAATGTAAAAACAGCAAAAAATTGCAAAGTTTTTGTCCTGAAAGCTAAAATAGATGTAATACATATTGGAAATATTGTCGTTATTATATTAGCTATATGTAGTATATGTATTATACACTATATGGGGGCTTCTATTACATATAGGGACTTGCATATATATATAAAATACATATGGGACATTATTATTATGTTGATGTAGTACATGTGGGACGTATTATTTTGTGTGTATATATATGTATATATAAAAAATAATAAGTATGTATATATCACTGCAGTCGTATCTCCATTTAAAGCACATTTTTCCCTTCTCCTGTAAAGTTACCATTTTGGAGATAGTTTTGTTCCGACAACAGTGATATATATATATATATATATATATATATGTGTGTGTGTGTGTGTGTGTGTGTGTGTGTGTGTGTGTATGTATATACACATTTGGGACATAATGCGTAACCCCCACATCCTGACATATGTCAGAAATATGTGTAAAAATAGTGTTTGTGTGTTTCCTTTCAGAGATGGAGATGGATGTGAACAATAAGAAGGAGTGTTACCTCAATCTGGATGACACAGTGTTCTGTGACAGCGTCCTGGCCACTAACGTCACAAAGCAGGAATGCTGCTGTTCGGTTGGAGTCGGCTGGGGGGATCACTGTGAAATTTACCCCTGTCCCGTCTACCACTCAGGTACTAGAGACAGAGAGAAGGAGGGATGATAGCTGCTTAAAGGCTAATAGATATACAATACCATGGACACTTTTGAAAAAGCCAGTAGATCCTTGCATGGATAGTAACGTGAATGGATGGTCAGTTAGATGCACTGAGAGTTACTAACAGTGCCTTGTGAAAGTTTTTACCAGCTTGAAAATTATCAACATATTTTCCCAGTCAGTATTTGTATTATGAACTCGTACTATAACACTATATTTGCAATGCCAATGCAAGTTATATGCACTGTAAAGAAAATGAAAAATTGAATTATGGTATCTTTTGCTCTTGGAACTTTTATGTTTATGTATGCAAATGTTTTGGTGCTCCTCTTCAAATTACTTTTTTGTTGATTTCTAAGTGAAATAACACATAAAGCACATTTATTGTTTATGAATTTAACATATTGAGAAAAAAACAGAAATGTGTCCATTGCAAAGGTTATGGCACATTTTATACTACATGTTTTGTTTTGTTTTGAATTTTTGCACTACAGCAAAAAATGCCATATTGAAGTGTGTCACTGTAGAGGATATGTTAACTCATTTTCTCTTCAAGAATCAACAAAACATGTTATTTGACCAGAGTGGTGTTCAAAATTTTGCATACTGTTAGAATGGATGGGTTGATAATTACCATTGTGTGTTTGTGTGGTGTGTAGCGGAGTACCACTCGCTGTGTCCAGTGGGACGAGGCTTTTACCATGAGGACGGTCTGACGGAGTACGGCCTGCCAATACACAGAGGTAACGTGAGCTATGAGAGAGGAAATGAATGAATTGTTGTAAACACCATCAGCCTGTGTGTTTAAATGTAACATTGGTCTTAAGTAATTATGTACACAGTCTCTCAGTTAGGTCACACTAGCCTGTTTGGTTACTCTTTCCTGTTTTCTCTCTATCTGTCCTCTTCTCTGTAGACATAGATGAGTGTGTGTTATTCGCTAATGAGATCTGTAAGGAGGGACGCTGTATGAACACACAGCCCGGATACGAATGTTACTGTCAGCAGGGCTTCTACTACGACAGCAACCTTCTGGAATGTATAGGTAAACAGACAGACACTCACTCTCTCACACACAAACATACACATACGGTCATATGCAAACGTTTGAATAACCCTGGTCAATTTACCTTTGTTGATTTTCTAAGTGAGAATAAGTTCAAGTCAAGTCAAGTCAGGCTTTATATTGTCATTCCAGCTATGTACAAGTACTCAGTGAAATGAAACAGCATTCCTCCAGGATCGTGGTGCAACACAGAAACACAAGTGCGAGACAATACAATATATACAGTGCAGACAATAGAGTGCAGTAAATAAATACGAAAGACTTACAATAAATACAAAACAGAACACAGGCAGTACACGGTACTGAGAGTATGTGGAGTTGTGCAAAGGAGTGTGTAACAAATTGACATATTAGCAGCTTAGCAGATAGCCTAGCATATATGAGCATAGCAGTCACTGAGGTAACAACCAGAGCAGCAATATACAGTATACAGTATTCAGTTGATGCAGTAATTCTAGCAGCTAACATTGTTAAAGTGAAGTAAAATGTGCAAAAATGCAAGTATTCAGATCTACAGTCATATCAAGGGAAGTGTTTCAGTGAAATGCAGTAACTATATTTATCTAAGTGGGGAGTGTCCAGAAATGAATGCTGTGTCGGTGCTGCACTGTCCTGTCTGTTTACTGTGTCTAATGTCTGTTTAATTTATCATATTTATTGTATTGTTTCTAGTTAAAATTTTTGTTGCACACTAATGTCTGCACGTTCGCACTTTGTACTCTTTTGTTCCATGTTGCACCGTGTTGTTCCTGGAGGAACGTAATTTCACTCCACTGTGTACTTGTACGTCGATGGACTGACAGTAAAAGCCTCTTGACTTGACTTGACTTGAGTTAGTCCCATATCGTTGTGTATGTGTGTGTGGGTCCGTGGGAGTAGAGAAATCTGATGGCTTGTGGAAAGAAACTGTTGCACATTCTGGCTGTGAGGGGCCGAATGCTGCGATACCTTCTTCCAGATGGCAGAAGAGAGAACAGTTCGTGTGAGGGGTGTGTGGGGTCAGTCACAATGCTAGTGGCCTTTAAGTTAACAAATCCTCTACAGAGAATGCACTTAAATATGGCAGTTTTCTGCCAATTTTAGTGCCCAGTTAACATATGAGAAAAATAAAATATAAAATGTGCCATAACTTTTGCACAGGCCACATTTTATGTTTTATTCCCTGCATGTTAAATTCAGTAAATAAACAGTAATTGTGCGGTAAAATGTGGAAAGGTGTGTTCTCTGTAGTGTATGACTGTACATGCTTCAGCCCCTGAGACCTTAATTGTTCTCAAATGCTGTGACTTTCATCATATTTTAACACCTTACACAAGTGACAGAAATCAGCTATACGAGTTACTCCGGTTCTTGTATATAAGGAACTTGAGTGTTTATGAGGAAATTCTGCCCTCTAGTGAGCACGTACAAACTAATAGCAAATAATATTTACTGCAGTGGCCACAAGGAGGCAGTAAAGCCCCACACTGGCCTTCATTACAGTCATGCAGTATAACAACATGGACCTGTTTCACAAGTCTGAGCAAAATATGAATTTGTGGGAAATTCCTACTGATTTACATTTAGATTAGAATACAAATAACATCAGGAGTGTAAAAGTCAAGTTAAAATTATTTATCATTTGTTATGTCTTTATCTCTCTCTCATTCTCTCTCTCTAGATGTGGATGAGTGTCATGACGAGTCTTTGTGTACTAACGGTCACTGTGTGAACACACGTGGATCCTTCTACTGCACCTGCAATGCCCCCTGGACTCCTGACCCCACCAACAAGAAGTGTGTCTTCCCCCCAGTCACAGGTGGGCGCATGTGTGCATGTGTATTTGTGTGTGTGCGTGTGTGCGTGTGTGCATTCATTTCATAAGATCTTTTTTACCGTTCGTAGACCATTCATTTATTGATCTAAACTAGAAACCAAATGAAATTGTTTGAGCTTTGGTAACTAAATTTTTCTGCATAGATTCAGTGAAGTCTGTTTTTATTGTTTGGCTGTTTTCTTGAACACTGATTACTTTCAGAGCAGCTGGAAAAAATACAACCTGCTTAATATAGCACAGTAAAAATATTAAACAGTTTCTTTATTAAAGTAAAGCTGTTCAGAAACAGGTTAAATCTGTATGAACACATTTCTATCGCAAAGCACAGTTAAGAGACTTTAGAAATATGTCATCCCACTAGAATGTCACTGCTCTTAGCTATTTAAAGGGGAATGCCACCAGTTTTTCAAAATTTCTGCATGGTTAATAGTAAACAAAGTTGTGTTTGATGTGAAATAGTAAACAAAGAGTGGTTTGATGTGAAATACTCAGTTCTAGAGAAAGTCAGAATTGTTCACAGTGGTGGTGATAGGAACCAGACATCTCAAGAGTACATTCAGTGATTAAAAAAGCTCCATCACACAGTGTTCTTACATGAAATGGTTATGAATATGCTGCCCAATGCCTGAGGCACTGTTTTACAATAATTTTAGATCAGCTTTTAGCCTAAATCATACATGCAGGGTGTTGTAAGACAAAATAAATCTTTATTTCTCCAGATTTACCACTATTTTACCATTGTCAACACTGCTGTGTATGGCTATATTTGTTTTGTGAACATGTTTATCTCTGGGTTCTGTCAAAAATGCTTTGAATGAAACAATCTGGGTAATTCTGTTTACATCTCAAACCAAAATCAAATCATGCAGAAACATCGGTGGAAATCCCCTTTAATAAAACGTTTATGTAGTGTTGCCGGTTGTTGAGCTGCTGTCCCGTCGCATGCTGCATGTGTGTGTGAGTAAAAGCATGAAAAGATTCTGCCCCGTGTGAGGCTCGAACTCACGACCTTCAGATTATGAGACTGACGCGCTGCCTACTGCGCCAACGAGGCCTGAAGGAGGGAGGAAACAGCAGCGTATTCAACGCTCAGACTGTGGGGGGAGGTGCACGAGGGGCTCTCTGGGGTGGAGAGGGAAGGGGGTGGGGAGTGTGTGAGAATGTGCTCGCTCTGGCATGTGTGCTCAACACACACTGTGCACTGGCCGTGTGTGTTTGTGCGTGTTTAGACTGTGTTTGTATGCGGCTGTTAAAACGTGTTAGATTTATTATAGACCCAGTTAGGAGGACCGACCCTTGCTTGAGCTCAAGAGGAAGTCAAGAGAACGAACACACAGAGCCAGTGGATTCTCTCCAACCTCCTAGTTTATTAAAACACACACAGAGATGTATATACGGCAGTTGTCACACAACTCTTACACCCGCACCCTCTCTTCTCCTTTCCAGCAGCCAGCTGAACGTCGATCGTAGCCTAGTTTGAATGTAAACTGCCACTGCGTTAAAGTTTACAAGCTACTAGAATTGAACCGGTTGCATCAAGTAACATAGTTTCAACGTAGCTTTAAGTTCTAACTTAAAATTTACACTTATCCTATAGTCATGCAAGTTCTGCTGTAAGAATCGGTTAAAGTGGCGGGTCTATTTGATCGATGGGAAAACTTGCAAGAAAACCAAATACATCTTTAGTTCTGCTGGAGAGATTACACCCGTTTTTGTCGATAGAAAAGATTACAGACCTCTTATCCACATGTTTGCAACACAGCACAGACAGTAGCCATGCCCTGAGTCCTACTTTGTGTCTGGCACTGAGATATTTTGGGGGTCGCTCTAAAACCTGGTGGGTGACACTGTTAAATACACAAGTCAAACTGCGTGCAGAGCAATAAGAGCAGCTCCATCAGTGCTCAGGTTGTGTGTGACGCTGATCTTATAATCATACAATGCATAACACTGATTATTTTAAAAAGTATAACAGAGCTAACATTACATTTCTGTCATCCAGCAGATTCAAATAGCGATTACATTGGCTGCAGCTTCGCTAACATTACCGACCGTTTATTGATAAAGTGCTGTTAAAATATTGTGCACGAGACCCCAGTTTGATTATCGCAAAAATTCCAGACAGAATAAACACACAAACAAGAAATGGACGATTTGAGGACACCAATGTATTGTAAAACACAGGCTCTTTTGAATCATAGCTAATACGGCCTACTTACATCAAGCAAAGTAAACGTAGCATGAAAAGAAACGCGAGCGATTTCACAGTGTGTGGAGATCATGCGCGTAACGTTTCCTGTTTATGTCGGGGTAGCATTACTGATTGGCTGCAGAGGGAAAACGTCATTCTGTGCGACAGTGTTTTGATCTACGATCACTTTAAGCACAACTAGTTAAGTGTCTGTGGTGCAGTTGAAATTCTGTGTTGCTAGTTTTACACTAATTACTCTCAACGTGAGGTTTAAGACGGACTTTACACCCCAACCTATGATCCTACTTGCGTTCAGCTGGTGCAGCTAGCTGCTGTTCTTCAGCCCCACCCCAGCCTCAGGCCTCTCTATCCTAACTTGGCGAGGATGCAGTTTATCTTGTATTTTTATTGACAACTTCCCTTCCCCTTCTATGTAAGGGGTTTGGGTCAGGAACAGTTTGTTCTTGCAGGCGTAAGCAATTCTGCTGTGGATGTATTCCAGCATGCCCAGAGTCCCCTTCCTCTTTTTCTCCTGTGAGATCAGCTCCTGTGCCAAACAGTTATGCGCAGTGATTCTTATGTCAGACACAGAAATGTTTGACACAGATTTACATTTTTCCATCGCAGTCACCTTTTACACTCTGTGTGGGTATTTAGCTCCTTATGGGGACCAGATGTTCCCAGTAAGATGAAAACATGAACATTTTGATGTTTTGGGGACAAATGACAACTTATTTATTCATTCATGTGTTTATTTGTTTAGAAAAATAACTTTTACTAGAAAAAAGATCAGCCAGAGTGCATTATTTCTCTGTATTTATGAAGTGAAACATGGTACCAGGAAATCTCTGAGCTCTGTGCTTCGGTGAGGATATTATTGGTTAAAGAGCCCATATCATGAAAAAAATGTTCATTATTTACTATTTTTGTGATTTCACAAAAAAAAAAACACATTTATGCATATCTGTCTGTTCAGCTTACAGCCTGTTCACACTGAAGCTTTAAAGAGCATTTTTGCCCCATGCTGTATTTTGAATGAGCCCCAATACAGGGCAGCCAATCAGAACAGAGCTCATTTACATAGTCCTTACATAGTCCTTACTTACTTCTTTACAATAAACAACTTTGAATGTGTGTTTGTGTCTCCCTTTAGGAATCAATGAATGCCAGGACCCGTCTAATTGTAAGAATGGACACTGTGTGGACACACAGGACTCCTATTACTGTATCTGCACTCCACCCTGGATCCTGGCAACTGACCGTAACAGCTGTGTGACACCAGAGGAGCAGGCCGGTGAGTGTTTAGGACAAGGTTGCACCATTAAAGCGGTATGAAAGGTAATGAGGTTGTGTGAGTAGAACTCCTGATAAAAGAAATGAGAACGTTTGAGTGCAACATGCCATCATCACAAATTATAGCGATCAACGTTTGTACAAGAGCCACTGTTCCAAACAGTATCTGAAAAAGGCATTGCAGTGCAACATTTTGAGGACAGACAACTTATGAGTGCTGATGTTGTACATGGCATATAAAAATAAGAGAAGCTGTCATCCATCATCCATTGGCTCCAGCTTAGGCTGGGCCTACACTGCACGATTTTTTGCCCGATTTTAACCCCGATTTGCCCCTTGCGACAAATTTTCACAGTCGATTTTCCAGATCAGAAGCTCGATCTGAAGTGACTGACAGCATGGTTTATCTGTTAGTGTGAGAGGAGAAATGAGTGAATCTTTAGCCCTCCGATCGAACTCTGAAGTGATCGGAGGCCCTCCGATATTATCAAACATGTTTGATATTTATGCCTCAAAACGTTCACGAGTCCTGTAGAGTGAGAAGGTCAGAGATTTACTCAATGAGTTATTCGAACAACAGCCAATCAAAGAGCTAGAAGAGCGGAGGAACAGGTGAAGAGACCGCCTGAACAACAGAGAGCGGAGACAGAGGAGCTGCATGTAAAACAGGCAGATAAGAGCCGATATCATGTTTATAATGTTTGGGTCCAGACATACGATTTCAAGGGAGCTGCCAGTTTGTAGTGAAATATTTCTCCAGCTCTCACTAATATCAGCGTTTCTCAACCACATATTAATCCCCAGTTTGCACTTCTTCTGCGCATAAAAGCACAAACAGGTCCGGTCCAGTACGTTTAGCTTTATTTGTGTCGTGTGATCTAAGGGGATCTGGAAGTTTGAGTTCTTATTCGTAGCCCAAACCTGTTGTGTGTGTTATACTCTCTCTTTGCCCTGTCGTCTACTGTGAGCGCCCTCATGACAAAAGGACAAGACATTCTGTGACAAACTGACATAAAGTCCGTTTTAAAAATCTGTTAAGATTTTAAAAGTCGTGTAGTGTACGCCCATCCTTAATGAGATGCATGATGGGTAATGTAGTTTTCTGAACAGATGTTTTGATAACTGAAACGAAATGTTAGCTGAGTAATGTAGTTCTGTGAATGTAGGTTCTGATAGATGAAATGACTGGATGTTAAAATGGGTGAAGTGAGGTGTGCAATGGCTAATGTAGGTTTGTGTATAGAAGGTGTAATAGATTAAGTTGGGTGCATGATGGGTAGTTTAGTTTTGTGAGTAGACATTCTGAGATGTAATGAGGTGCATCATCAGTGATGTAGTTTTATGATCTGAAGTTGTACAAGCTGAAATGAGGTCTATGACGAGTTTTGTCGCTCTGTAAAAAAATTCTGTAAACAAGGTGAATGATGGGTAATGTAGTACGACGTATAGAAGTTGCATTAAATGAGGTGAATGATTGGTAGTGTAGTACTATGAGCAGATATTCTAGAGGATGAAATGAGGTGTATGATGGGTCATGTAGTTCTATAAATAGACATTCCCGATGGATGAAATGAGGTGTATGATGGGTAATGTAGTTCTATGAATAGAAGTTCTGACAGAAGTGAATAATCGGTACAGTAGTTATGTTAATAGAAGTTCTGATAGATTAAATAAAATAATAATTTAAAGCAGTTTTGACCGTCCTAATAACGGTTAAAAGAAAAGATATGGTATTTATCTGACCTCTGTGAAGAGGTTAAATAATGGATTGTATCTAAATATGGGTACAACTGGAAGCCAGTAGTCTATTTATGTAGACATACTACTGCACAACTCACCCAAGACTGTGTGCTTCTGATGCTTCTTTCTCGTTCTTTTTCTCCCCTCTTTCCTCTCTCTGTCTCTTTTTACCCCTCCCTTTTTCTTTTCTTCTCTCTCTCTCTGCACTTCTCTGTTCCTCTCTAGTAATGTCTGTGGTGACCCTTTCAGATGTGAATGAGTGTCTGGACCCGTCGTACTGCAGGAACGGGAGGTGTGTGAACACTCCCGGCTCCTTCCACTGCATCTGCACTCAGCCGCTCACCTTCAGCGCGGCCCTCAAGCAGTGCGTCTATGATGGTGGGTAGCACAGCCAATCAGACGCTCGCCCCCAATCGGCCAGTCAGAGTCACAGTTTAGCTGCCAGCTAGCTAGTCGACTAATCAGCTAAAAGCATAGCCCTGAAACAGCTAATCAGGTCTCACTTAAATCCCTGATTGGCCAATCAGCTTCAGCGCGAGTGCCCGATAAGGCACGTAGCAAGGTTCCCAACGTTCCTTATGACATGTTGTACATGGTAGGATAGGACCCCTTTGTGTTTATTGTGTGTTTGTCTTTCTCTTCTTCCCAACACCCCATTCTGTTACTTCCTTTTCCTTCATTTTTCTTGTTCTCTTTGTCTGTTTCTGTGTCTTCCTCTCTTGCTCCTTGTTTATTTCTTTTTTCCCATTTCTCTCCCGCTCTCATTCTCTCTACTCTCGCTCTCTCTATTGCTGTCTGTCTGTCTCTCTCTCTCTCTCTCTCTCTCTCTCTCTCTCTCTCTCTCTCTCTCTCTCTCAGATCGTACAGCGGCGCATAAGGACGTGTGTTTTGGGGAAGTGGATGAGGATCTGATCTGCAGCATGCCAAGGAACGATCTCACAGTCACGTACTCTGAGTGCTGCTGCCACTACGGCCGTGGCTGGGGCCCTGAGTGCCGCACTTGCCCACAGAGAAACTCAGGTAAGCCAGCTGCAGTACTCCTCCAGTCCTTTTGCTCTGCGAAACTCAGGTAGGCTAAATTAGGACTGGCCAAAAATCGTGTCATTGAATTTTGGTCATTTTTGACAATTACCATATGCATATGGGTCAATAACCCAAGACAAATAAGGTTTTCAGAAGTGACAATTTTTAAAAATCTTATTAAAAAAGACATGATGTGCATTTTTTTGTTATCAAAGCTGTTAATTGCCTATTTTAGTTATTCAAGCTGTGCTGGTCTGGTTGCCCCATTTGACGTATCTAGTTGTGCCACCTGACTTTTCAGACTAATTTCTTCAGATAAATAAACATTATAATAAGGACAAATTTACATGGCTCTCTTGAGCTCATACCACACGACATGTAAACTGAACCATTTGAACCACGACTCAAAAAAGACATTTTGTCCAAAATTGTGAAAAGGCCACTGACCTTGGCATTGCACCATGAAGGTCACTTGGGGTCTTCTTTATGATGCAATACCCTGGCCCCTCCTTTGTAAAAGCATGTCAAAATAAAAGGTCTTTGTTTTGGGTTATTTAACCTGACATTCGAGGAAGAAAGAACCTGTGGAATTTACAGTGAGATGAGTACTTATTTTAAGGTTTTCAAACATAAAATCATACCAAACTATTTTATTTAGAATTGTATGTAATTACATGTGTGTGTAATTGTATGTGATTACCTTTTTTAATCATTTACTTAGTCAACATACATAGTTGGATGGTTTAACCACCTGACATGTGTAGACTTTTGGAGGCAAAAAGAAACTAAAATGATTTTTTTTAAGCCGAAAATTGATTAAAAGAACAAAACTCCAGTTTGCTACTTTAGATAACTTTGTGCATGCTTTATTTATTTATGTATTGAAAGTAATGTAGGCTGTTTGTGCATTCCACGTGTTGTTTATGTCTGTTTGGGTTTATTGTGAACATACGTTTGAAGAAGGCATGTTTAAGTGTGGTGTGCTTTGTGCAGTGATATTTAACAGGCTATGTGAGATGCACCTGGAGACCGAGTCAGACGGAGAGGGAGATTTCCTAGCAGCTTTCTCCAATTACAACCCAGGTAACTTTTCCAACAGCCACTCAAATAGTGTTTACTAAGCCCCACAGAAACAAGCTTTTTGTCAAGGCCGTGGAAGGTGGTAGTACTGGACGTTTGCATGTTATGGCTTACGCCAAAGAACTGCATCAGACGGCCATACTGAGGAATAGACTTGGTTTATTCAAATATTCTTACTCTTTCTTTTCTTCTGTCAGAGAGAGACAGTTCAGAGGAGGACTCTGATGAGTGTAGTTGTGCTAACGGACGCTGTGTGCGCTCATACCTGGGTACCATGTGTGAGTGTAACCCCGGCTTCAGACTGGATCATTCAAGAACGCGCTGTGTAGGTCAGTACACACGTGCTATAAATGGATTACAGTGGTTCACTGCATGACTTTTTAAGCCTCTTTCTGCAGGCCCCCAGTGGCCATTCTACTAGTGGAACGGCAATAGGCTAACATATTTTAAATTAATATTAAGAAATCAAATATTTTTCCCCATAACTCTGTATTTAGGTTAACTAGGACACTGTTGGCTTCTGTTTTTTGCACATTTGCAGCATTATTGAAGTAAAAAAAATAGTGGTGCAACTTAAGAACCTACAAAATAGACTTTTATTTATTTTAAACACCAAAATAAAAAAAAACAATTAAATTTGTCCTATTTTGACTCTTTTTTATGACCTTCTTAGACTTACATTTCTATGCCTAATACAATAAATAATTAATAATAGTCTTTGACATGCCTGTTGTGTAGTTCTACGATGTGTCTTGCTCCCTCACTCATTTATTAAATGGAATAAAGCGTATTTCGGCCTAAGATATTTTGGCAGTCAGTGTACTGCTATCCGTTAAATGGGAAAATGTACTTATTATTGGTCACATGCTCATAACCAATAATGCATTAGATGCATTTAAATCCTTTTTAAATGCATTTGGCCTGTCAAAGTTACCCTGACCTCACCTCCCTCAAACAATAGTTGAATTTACATGTATGTGATAATCTGGTCAGATTTTGTCAGTTAGCCGTTCAACGTGTTTGCAAATACTTGGGAAATCAGATAATGAGAAAACTGTTTACATGAGTGAGGCAATAATCTGATTTCTGCTTTGCCCCTGGCCAGTGAAGTCACAGAAAAAGACATGAGAGAAACGTAACATTGAGTCACTTTACTAGAAAATGTGAATATACATCATCTAGAACATTGAGTGTATAGTTGTCAAGCATATGCTTGGTTTCAGCATCGCTCCAGAAGTGTTGTGCTGCCGTTTCTCGGGTGCTGTGTTAAACACTGCTCGCTCTTTCTGGGCCAGCAGTCTGTATTTGTGTTTGCACAGACTCAGAAAAATGACAGAAATCAGAGTAAGTTATACTTGCGCTGAAAAGGCTGATAACTGAGCTAAAGTCTAGCCCTGTTAATCAGATTTCTAGAAATCTGATAACGGCCTTAGTCCGATCTAAGAAATCAGAGCTTGCTGTTTACATGACCGCTTCAATAATCAGATAACTGCCGAAATCCGGTGATGATCATACTATTGGTGTACGTGTAAACGCATTTAAGAGAGAACTATATTTATATATATATATATATATATATATACTATTTTTATAGTACATATAACTAATCAAATGTTTAACTTTTAAAATTGTATTTGTAGTCACAAAATATAGTGGAATGTAAGCATTTTCAAAACCTTAAAACCATAGAAAACCAACCTTACCTGATTTTTTTGAAGAGTTTCTTTCCAAAATGCAGTATATCCATTTAGAACAATTTTGGATATAGCATGTATTCAATAAAAAAATTGCTGATGTATAATGGAAAACATATTTGTCCAATAAAGGCGATTTTTTCATAATATAGTATTCATATTTCTTGTATGTGTGAAGTCCACTCCCAAAATCATAAATCATGAAAAAAAGATAATTCTTGAAAGTGGTCTATAATGCAATTTGCAGTGAAACCCTTCATTTATATATTTTATTGCCTTTTTGACGATCAGCCCACTGCAAATTGCGCTTTGGCCTCCCAAGACAAAAGTTTGGGCACCTCTGCTATGGAGCCTGGATTTTATTGTCTATGATGCACATCTATGTTAGCAGGTAGCTTCTGCTACATCAAAACAAACGATGCACCATATCGGTGCATTGCTAGTTTTCATGTAGCATCTCTAGAATTTGCTTGTAAAATGTACAGAAGGGTGAACATGATTCTCTTGCTCTCTCCCTCTGTCTCTCTGTGATATAGATATAGACGAATGTGTGGAGAGAGGCATGCGGCTGAACCCGTGTAAGAACGCTCGGTGCACAAACACGATGGGCTCATTCAAGTGCACCTGCAAACACGGATTTGTACCCACACGCAGACCCAACGTGTGCAGGCAGGCCAGGGCTTCATAACACTACACACGTTCACATCCAGTGCAAAGACGCAATGCAGACAGACACACAGATAAGTAGACAGGCACAAATGCAAACACTCGTTCTCATCCACCCTCCTGCAGTTCTCTGTGGTCAGTTCATTTCCTCTCATCTTCATTTGTTTTTAACTCTTTTTTTAATTAAATTCAGAGATTTTGATTGAAGTATCGCCAACTGTTTATAGTAATAATACATTTTTGTTGTTGTTTTTGTTTTTTTATGTGTTGATACATTTTCCCTTCCCCATCCTTGAGTCCTTTTTGCACAAGTTTGATCATTATCTCTCTGGATGTGGGAAAATCTAGTGCTTTTTTTATCCGACACTACTTGGGTACAAGTATTGAGAAACCAATACATTTTTCATTCCCTTAAGATTCCATCAAAAAGATGCCACATAGGGTTCTTTGAGTGCTGCCATAGAAGAGCTCATTTCCTTCTCTACAGAACCTTAAAGAGACTTGTGAAGAACTTTTTAATGGTTCAAAGAACCTTCACATAAGGAACACGCAAGGTTCTTCACATTCATCTCATTTGCAAATCGGTTCTCCAAAGAACCTGTCTTCAAAAAGTTTCCTTTTTTCTGAAAGCCTCAGCTCAGTTAATAATCGGGAGAGAAACCAATTAACTTGTACACTAATATTTTTAGCTGTAATTATATGCTGCATCGGTTGTTCAACACTGAGGGTTGAGATTTTTGTTAATGTATACTGTATATGCTTCAGTCTGAATATAGGACCTGAAAGGTGCTTGTTATCTTTGATTGTACTAAGCCATACCATTCAAAAAGATACATGCTAACAGTGGAAATTTGGAGCCTCATTACTAGTGCATTTAGACAATGGAGATTTTTTTAATATTTGTACAAAATAAGTAAGCCAGCAAGTGGTTGAGGTTTGCACCTGAACTGTACTGAGCAAACAATTGGAACTCAATGCACTTGAGGATCTTACTAGCTTCTTTGTTGGGATTACACAACCACCTGATATGATTACGGTCTCTGTTTTGAAGAGCAACTATCCTGGTGGTTAGAATACATGGAGAACACTGTTGAGCTGAGCAGTTACATTGGGTTGACCTGTCAGCTCAAGACTACTCCTAAAGGAATAGGTGGAAAATCAAATTTACACAGCTTTCCCAGTGTCCTAAATGTAGCCAGTCAGCTAAGGCGCGTTTCATGTCTGGAGTTTGCTTATTTAAACTTTCACTGGAGCTACAAGGCCACATTATGGACAATATAGAAATTCAACACAGCTACTAATACTGTTTTAATCGAGTTTACAGCACTATCGTAAGTAGGATATTTAGCCTCATGACACAGTGCTAATGTAGGCTACAGCTGACTCTTATTAAACGTTATGTCACTTCTGTTGAGTGTACCCTTGACCTGTAGCTAACAGTTAGCCTAGGTAGTTAGTCCCATGACTAAAACTTAAAATCTGTGAGCTACTGACTTCATGTTGACTGTTGTTTAAACTAGAGGTCTGTGCGGGACTGTTCTTTCAGTCCCACTCCCACCCGCAACCGAATCATTTTGGCCCACCCCCACCTATGCAGTTCTGTCAAGGCGAAGTGACATTATCCTCTGATGAAATAACGCAGCAGTCATGGTCATCAGGCTCACTGTGAAGTAACTTCACCAAACGCCGTTTATTCCCAGTAAACACAAAGCGGGAATTAAACCACAGAGCGGTTGTTTTTGGTGCTGGGCAGCTGTGGCTGTCGGACTGAAGGCTCTGCCATCTCTGTAAGCTATGAGAATTTGCATGCTGTTCACCTGACGGGTTGCTTCGCAACTCTTTAGAATGACTTCCTTAATTATATCATTCTTTATCTGATATTTTTTATATTGTTTATGAATATGATTTAGTGATTATTCTACTTTATTTAGGCGATTCATTAATTTGAGTAATTTGAATTGATTAATTAATAATTCGTTCATTTCAACACTGAAATTTAGTTACATGGGAATCCACGGTAGTGTAGACCTCTAGTTAAAACTATGCATATGAACTTCATATATATTTGTTAACTTGGGTTAATAGTATGTGGTAAATGTAGGTAGACTACATTATTACTGTCATGTTAGGCTGTGTTTTTTCATTAAATAAAGCCTAAAATCTTTTATATAAACGCAGTGCTGTGTTTGATATTTTCATGGGTCGTGTCCGTGATTTTAGGTTCGTCAGTTAACGATTAATCACCGACTAATGATGATTGGCTTTCGGGCAACAGAATTTGCCACAATTCTGATCTTGACTTATCTTGTTAGCTACATTAGCCTCATAGCTCCAAAGCAAGACTAAAGAAGCAAACTTCAGACACCAAACATGTCTTGGCTGTTTGACTGCTTGGGGTTAAAGGGAAATAAGGGTTGGTCAGACTATACTATACTTTAAATTGAATGTTCTGACCAATAAATCCTGTGTTCATTTCAAAGCTCTGATTTGAACAGCTATTCATTTTTGGAACATGGCAACATATAAAAAGAGAGCTTTCAAGTAACTTGGCTTAAAATGTATTTGCTTTCACATCTAACAGATCTTTGTCTGATTTGTCATATTTATTTTCCCCTTCCAATTTTGTCCTTTTCTAAGTGTGTCTGATGTTGTGATGAGGTTGCACAGTCTGAAAGTAGTTTTAATGCAAAATAAGCTTGACTAGACCTAAGAGGTCGAGTCGGAGAGAGACTGAAAAATGGATTATTGTTGATTACCCTGTCCTCAATCCTATGTCAGAGCAATTACAGAGATGCTTTTCTACCAAAGAATAGAACAATAAATCTGAGATGTTGTGAAACCAACACAGTTGACTGATGTGGCTTTTTTTTCCTATTTCTGTTCTCTTTCTCTGTCATGGGAAGCATTTAATTATGAACTTCTAAAATTTTAAAGAAGGCATGATAAGCAAAAATGCATTTTCCTTGGCAGTTCATGTGTGTGCTGCTTGACGCTGTATGTACCAACCAAGAAACTATGAATTGTGAGGTGTCTGTTGTTTTGGTCTGTTTCACATTTTCAGAAGGTTTGTGTTTCTACAGGCTGTTAGGATTTGCTGCTTGATGCAAAAGCTCCACCCTCCCTCTTGAATAACCACGCCCACTCACCCAGCCATCATAATTTTACCATCACAGCTGCAGTTTCAGATACAGGTACACTGGTTTTGGGGGCGAACTGGACCATATTATGTCTTCAATAGAGTAAGAGTAAGCTGGGCATTTACCTTTCAACAAACACTGTACAAAACGGCTGTAAATGTACAGCATTTATTTTATTTATTTCATGAATATACAGTACTTTACAGTCAACTCTACTGCTAGTAAATTGTATGTAATGTTATTATTATTATATATATATATGTCTGTATACTGTTTGAGGTGGGAGATTGTACCAAACATGGAGAACAGTATTTTCTGCATTAGTTTTGGGCGTTTTAATATATATTCTCTTCTTTTTACAGTTCTATCAGTATCATGCCACCCAAACATAGCATTTCATTCATTTTCAATATACAGTTATTTGCAGTATCATAAACAGTGTGAAATCAAGGCGATGTTCAGGAAAATTGAAAACTCTCAGTTACTCTAAAACTAAGTTTGTCCCACAGCCATCCTGTAGGATTGAGGTCTGAAGATTGTCCATGTTATTAGTTTGTCCATCATGTGCCTTCTTCATCTGTACGACTTTCAGGTGTGTTTTGGGTTGTTATCTTGCTAAAGAATGGAGAACTTCCCCGTCCAGATCCTGATAAAATGGCACAGCTCTTAGGTACAGCTGTGATGTGATAGCCATTGTGGTTGCCATGGTAAATATCATCACCTTTGTCACCAACAGAGCAAACACAGACCATTTTACTGCCTCCTCTATGCTTGACAGTCAGAATTATACATTGCGCACACTTGCATCACTTTCTCTGCATCCTGTAAAGACAGATCAGCTGGAACCAACTTAGTTTTTGCTCATAAGATCATCAGTGAATCTCCTCAAATGCCCACTTTCCATATTTTTGGTCCCAGCAAATGTGTTGATTGTTCCAATTAGGCTGACTTTATGCAGTTTACAAGATCTGCATTACTCACATTTTGAATGCAGTTAACTTGTGGTTGTTTGCTTATATATACACATATTCTGAGATGAGAGATTGTACCAAGCATGGAGAACAGTATGCATTCTGCATTTGTTTTGGGCATTTTAATATATATTCACTGCTTTTTACAGCTTTGTCAGTATTATGCCACCCAAACATTTCATTCATTTTCAATATACAGAAATTAGCAGTGTCATAATCAGAGTATGAAATCAATGCAATGTTCAGGAAAATTGAAAACTGTCCCTAAATCTCAGATTCTTCAAAAAACTTTTCACAGCTTTGGTTAACAAGTTTAACAAGCAGGGAATCACCCAGCATTCCTACTGCTTCTGCAGCCACTTCCAGTTTTTCTTTGCGTTAACTTCTCTGTTCAGTTTGTCCCACAGACGTCCTGTAGAATTGAGGTCTGAAGATTGGACAGTCCATGTTGTTAGTTTGTCCATCATGTGCCTTCTTCATCTGTACGACTTTCAGATGTGTTTTGGGTTGTTATCTTGCTGAAGAATGGAGAACTTCCAACTAGTCCCGATCCTGATAAAATGGCACAGCTCTTAAGTATAGCCATGGTGTGATTAGCCATTGTGGTTGCCATGGTAAATATCATCACCTTTGTCATTAACAAAGCAACCACAGACCATTTTACTGCCTCTTCTATGCTTGACAGTCAGAATTATACATTGCGCACACTTGCATCACTTTCTCTGCATCTTGATCAGCTGGAACCAACTTAGTTTTTGCTCATAAAATCAGCAGTGAATCCATCTCCTCAAATGCCCACTTTCCATATTTTTGGTCCTGGCAAATGTGTTGATTGTTCCAATTAGGCTGACTTTATGCAGTTTACAAGATCTGCATTACTCACATTTTGAATGCAGTTAACTTGTGGTTATCCTAGATCAAAGTACTAAGAAATTACAGACAGGTTTATACAGTTTGAAGTCTAGAGAATCATAAAATGTCTGTAAATTTAAGTTTTGTCTGCTGTATGATATGTAAGATATCCCAGGACACAAAGTGACTCTTTAAACTTCAAGAGACCCACATTTTAATTCCACCTTTCTTACAACTAGTTACTGGATAATTTATAGTTGTTCCTCAACAATAAACCTTAAGTCTGAAATGTTCAATAACATGCCTAAAGTTTATAGTGTGCTGAACGCTTGTCATAATTCACAAGAAATAAATAGGGCTGCAACAATTGGTCAACAAAGTCAATTACTTGTTGATTATGGAAATTACTTTGAAACAGAAACACTCATTCCAGCAGAGCCACGAATGTATGGGGCATAAAAGTTTCTATTGTTTCGTTGCACCTTAAAAGAAAAAATTGCTTGATGCACAGATGGAACTTTGAATAATGACGATGCCTGACTGAGGTAAAGTGATAGAACACTACAGAAGGCATAACGGTTTGATTAGTCGATTAATCGAATAATAGATGACATTATTTTATTGCAGAAATAAACATTGGCTGCAGTCATAGAAATATTGCAATAGGAGAACTGAAAGATTGTCTAAGGCAAATGCAGTAAATAAAAAAAAATGGAAAGCAGTCTGCTGCTTACAACAGTCTTTCAACATGTTTACACATCCCTTAACATCTCGTAAAGACAGCTCTCAGAAATATCATATATGTGCCAAGAGTACTGACTGCTAGTAGGATAACGAGAGTCATAGCAACATAAAAATGCAGATCAACAGGCAGATGTGACTTTGTTGTATTGCGACGTACCACAGGCTTCTTTATAGTGGTTTTGTTTGGGGATGTAGTTTTTGCATTGCTGTGCACAGGTGTTTTGTGTACTGTAGCATGTACAGGGGAACCAGATGTGTTCAGCAGAATTGTTGGTTTGCTAAAGTTTGTAGTTCCATGCTTAGATGAGGAGAAAGTGTTGCCTGTGTTTGATGCTGTTGTGTAAGACGCTGGCTTTAGAACTGTAAACAGACTGTCTGGTTTCATTTTTTCTGTTCTGTGTGTTGATGCAATTGTTATTTCTCCAGTAGTTCTTTTTAGCATTGCAGTGGTATCTGGAACCTGCTCAACTTTAGTTGCTTTTGCTGTTGCAGCAGTAGTTGGTACCACTCCACCAAGAGTTGCCTTTGCTGTTTGGGCAGTAGCTGTTACCTCTGTACCTGCAGTTGCCTGTGCTGTTGCAGCGGTAGTTGGTCCCTCTCCACCTCCAGTTGCCTGTGCTGTTGCAGCGGTAGTTGGTACCTCTGTACCTGCAGTTGCCCTTGCCGTTGCAGCGGTAGTTGGTACCTCTCCACCCACAGTTGCCTGTGCTGTTGCAGCGGTAGTTGGTACCTCTCCACTTGCAGTTGCCTGTGCTGTTGCAGTGGTAGTTGATACCTCTGTACCTGCAGTTGCCTGTGCTGTTGCAGTGGTAGTTGGTACCTCTCCACCTCCAGTTGCCTGTACTGTTGCAGCAGTAGTTGGTACCTCTCCACCGGCAGATGCCTGAGCTGTTGCAGCGGTAGTTGGTACCTCTCCACCCACAGTTGCCTGTGCTGTTGCAGCAGTAGTTGGTACCTCTCCACCCACAGTTGCCTGTGCTGTTGCAGCAGTAGTTGGTACCTCTCCACCTGCAGATGCCTGAGCTGTTGCAGCGGTAGTTGGTACCTCTCCACCGGCAGATGCCTGAGCTGTTGCAGCGGTAGTTGGTACCTCTCCACCGGCAGATGCCTGAGCTGTTGCAGCGGTAGTTGGTACCTCTCCACCTGCAGTTGCCCTTGCTGTTGCAGCAGTAGTTGGTACCTCTCCACCTGCAGTTGCCTGTGCTGTTGCAGCAGTAGTTGGTACCTCTCCACCTGCAGTTGCCTGTGCTGTTGCAGCAGTAGTTGGTACCTCTCCACCCGCAGTTGTCTGTGCTGTTGCAGCAGTAGTTGGTACCTCTCCACCCGCAGTTGCCTGTGCTGTTGCAGCGGTAGTTGGTACCTCTCCACCCGCAGTTGTCTGTGCTGTTGCAGCGGTAGTTGATACCTCTCCACCTGCAGTTGCCTGTGCTGTTGCAGCAGTAGTTGGTACTTCTCCACCTGCAGTTGCCCTTGCTGTTGCAGCAGTAGTTGGTACCTCTCCACCTGCAGTTGCCTGTGCTGTTGCAGCAGTAGTTGGTACCTCTCCACCTGCAGTTGCCTGTGCTGTTGCAGCAGTAGTTGGTACCTCTCCACCTGCAGTTGCCTGTGCTGTTGCAGCAGTAGTTGGTACCTCTCCACCCGCAGTTGTCTGTGCTGTTGCAGCGGTAGTTGATACCTCTCCACCTGCAGTTGTCTGTGCTGTTGCAGCGGTAGTTGGTACCTCTCCACCTGCAGTTGTCTGTGCTGTTGCAGCAGTAGTTGGTACCTCTCCACCGGCAGTTGTCTGTGCTGTTGCAGCAGTAGTTGGTACCTCTCCACCTGCAGTTGCCTGTGCTGTTGCAGTGGTAGTTGGTACCTCTCCACCCGCAGTTGTCTGTGCTGTTGCAGCGGTAGTTGATACCTCTCCACCTGCAGTTGCCTGTGCTGTTGCAGCAGTAGTTGATACCTCTCCACCTGCAGTTACCTTTGCTGTTGCAGCGGTAGTTGGTACTTCTCCACCTGCAGTTGCCTGTGCTGTTGCAGCGGTAGTTGGTACCTCTCCACCCGCAGTTGTCTGTGCTGTTGCAGCGGTAGTTGATACTTCTCCACCTGCAGTTGCCTGTGCTGTTGGAGCGGTAGTTGATACCTCTCCACCTGCAGTTGCCTTTGCTGTTGCAGTGGTAGTTGGTACTTCTCCACCTGCAGTTGCCTGTGCTGTTGCAGCGGTAGTTGGTACCTCTCCACCCGCAGTTGTCTGTGCTGTTGCAGCGGTAGTTGATACCTCTCCACCTGCAGTTGCCTGTGCTGTTGGAGCGGTAGTTGATACCTCTCCACCTGCAGTTGCCTTTGCTGTTGCAGTGGTAGTTGGTACCTCTCCACTTATTGCTGCCTGTGCTGTTGCAGCGGTAGTTGATACCTCTGTACCTGCAGTTGCCTTTGCTGTTGCAGCGGTAGTTGGTACCTCTCCACCTGAAGTTGTCTGTGCTGTTCCAGCAGTATTTGTTACCCCTACAACTGTAGTTGCCTTTGCTTGTGCAGCAGTATTTGGTACCTCTCCATCAGAGGTTGTAAATGCTGCTTGCACAGTCTTTGCAATAGTTGTTGGAGCTGATACAGATGTAGTTATTTTCACTTTGCTGGTTGTAGCACCCACTGGTGAAACAGCTGCATTTGGTTCTCCAGATGCCACAGCTGGTGTGGAACCATCTGAAATCGTCATGATTGTACAAGCAGGTGTTCCAGATGCAGTAATTGCTTTTCCATCTGCCGTTGTATCTTCTTGGTCACCTGTAGTTGCAGCCAATGGCAAAATGGCACCAATAATTCCTGCAGATTAACAAATGGCAAAATAACTTTACACAAGCTACTTAAAAAGCTTTAAAATAATGTTAATGTTATTTTAATAAATCCATCTCTGTGCATTTTATTAGCTCTGTCCCTGATTTGAGATGTGTTTTTTCTGTCAAGCTCAGTAGAATCTCTTCTCTGGCAAATTCTGAACTGAAATGCTGATCTAGGACCAAATTTTCCTTACCCACGCTAAGTTTGGCCTTTAATGTGCTGCAAAGCGAAACAGATCTGGAGTCAATCCTATAAGATCTTAAGTGATTAAGGCCTGGGAGGTGTAGTTCAAAGACACGCCATAACAGTCCCAGCTCCCTTCCTCCCATAGGTTCTTATTTATAGACAATGTGCATGATCTTTTAATAATATGGCTTGCACAGTTCTACACTATTCTGATTAATCTATTATTAATGCAGTAGCTCCTTCATTCTATTATTGATATTAGTGGATTCACTGATGCAGTTAGACCTCAGTGGAGCAGAGGAATGTTTTCTTGAATTAATGTTTTACTAGTTTTTCAGAATGTAACCCACTTTCTTGTCTCATATCTATGTAACAGATCTGGGTATTTATTGCCTGGCAATGCCAGTAGGATTTAATTTTACTGACTTATAATTTGATAGTTTCTTTTAATATCTAGAGGAAATCCTTTTTTTTCCTTCATCATTTTCTCATCCCAGTCTGAGTGAAGTTTCTTTTCTGAACAAGAACAAATCTGCTCACCTGCTGCTATAAGGGCAATGTACACTTTAGCAGGTGCCATCTTGGTTCTTTTCTTGATGTCTTTTGCTTAAACAGTGTACTGTGAAAACGAAGTACATATAGACACCTTATTATAATTATATACACCTTATAGACACCTTAATTCTACAATTCTATTTCTACACAAATGTCACAATATTTATTTGTAAGTACACTAATGTGTCGTAAAGGTGTATGAAAAAAAATTGGGCACCCCGGTTGATTTTCTAGGTGAAAGCAAGTGAACACATCCTCTACAGAGAACAAACCTATGCATATTTTAAGTACAGTTACTGTTTATTACTTGAATTAAACATATAGAAAAAACCTAAAATGTGGCTTTTGTAAAAGTTATATGTTTTATGTGTTCCAATATGTAAACAGGAAGTGGCACACTAAAATTTGCAGATAAGTGCAATATTTAAGTGTGATCTCTGTAGAGAACTTATTTTCACTTAGAAAATGAACAAAACATAAAATCTTGTTTCTCTGAAATTGTACCTTCATAGAAGAAGAAATACAATATTAACTTTACTGTAGGTTAATATTCCAAGTCATTTTAGACCATTTCTGTTGGTCCATTCATCATGAGATGATGTAAAGGACAGGTGGGCTGAAATATATTGCAAAAACAACAAGGTTTTTATATACATTCACTGAGAACTTTATTAAGTACTCCTCCTTTTATATACAATAATTGTCCATGCCCATGTCTCCACTTACCATATTGGAGCACTTTGTAGTTCTACAGTTACAGACTGTAGTCCATCTGTTTCTCTGCATACTTTGCTGTTGGCTGGATATTTTGGTTGGTGGTCAATTCTCAGTCCAGCAGTGACACTGAGGTGTTTAAAAACTCCAGCAGCACCGCTGTGTCTGATCCACTCTTACCAGCACAACACACACCAACACGCCACCACCACGTCAGTGTCACTGCAGTGCTGAGAATGATCTGTGGTGGTCCTGTAGGGGTCCTGACCATTGAAGTTCAGAGTGAAAGGGGGCTAACAAAGTATGCAGAGAATCAGATGGACTACAGTCTGTAACTGTAGAACTACAAAGTGCTCCTATATAGTAAGTGGAGCTGATAAAATGCACAAAGAATGTAGCAGGAGGTGGTCATAATAAAGTCCTCAGTGAGCATACATATTTATAGATTGTCAAAACCTCATATCTCCAAAATAGTAATATCACAGGAGCAGGAAAAACATCTGTGATGTTCAGTGTAAGCTAATATAACGATATGTTGTTCCAAGCATTGACATACAAGCTTTTGCTCCGACACATGGTACGTAGTGTAGTACACTATACCTGGATCTGATGTCCAGATGTTCCTGGAGTCCTAAATCGCTGGAGGTGGGATGGACTGCACTTGCTTTCGGACGCTGTGGAAAGCTGTCATTACAGTGCTGGATCTAAACGTAACCGTTTCATATCTTTTCTCCTTAAACAAATCTGCACAATAGAAATTCATAGAACTATATGATGAGACTTGCTTACAAAAGCGTGTGCATCCGTTCCTGAAAACAAATTCAAAATTTTATTAAGAAAAAAAACTGAATAGTCTTTGTTAGGAGGCATGTTGAAGTTACTAAAAGAGCAGGCAATGTGCTTTGAATCAAGCGAGGGCCATAAATGTTGCAAATGGAGGGGTATGAGATGCAAACGTGCACCCAGCTGTGCCTGTGAACGGGATGATGTTTAGCAAGAGTGGCTTGTCAGTCATGAGCTTTGTTTTCACAGAATCAGTCAACAGGATGTTTTCGAGTGGTCGTATAATCGTCATCAGGGTTCGTGTTTGGTGGGGGGTGGGGGTCCCAAACCTTCCATAAGAAGAATGGAACCCCCTATAAGAGAGACATCTTTCTGGTTTAAAACTGGAGGACTTGGAAGCTTGAGTGCATCTCAAACTACTGAGAAACTGTAGATGCTTTTGACTTGAACCAACAAATACGAGAGTTTTCAGTATAGACAGTTCAGTTGGAGAACATGCAGTGGGTAAAGTTCTTAATTGCCTCATGCAGTAACGCTTGTTTTTGCACAACAAGCAACATATGCCAAGAATTTGACCCATTTGTACAGCAAACTGAATCGTTTACTACCTAAAATAGGCCATTGGACTTGGCTGCCGTGTCTTTGCATCAGTTTCTAAGCATAAAAATAATATGTATTGATACAGATATGAGATAAAAAGACTACTAAGTAATACTACAGGAGTGAACCTCACACAGATATATTGTGAAAATATTATACAGAAGTTTACAACACTACATAGGGCAGACTTTCCACCAGGGGACCCCCGAGACCCCTGTCACAATTCATCACCATGATTGTAATGAATGTGATGTGGATGGTAAATTGCAATAAGAGAATTCTGTGTAATTAGTGACGATTCTGCTGTGCTGCGTAAGGCAGCGTGTATAATGTACTGTACATTGTTTTACGTTATTTAAAACATGTTAAAAACAAAAATATCCAAAACATTCAGACTCTTTAGACTTTCAGACTTTGAGTGGAGCCAGAAGTCCATTCGTTGCAAACTGTTGAGCTCTGTTCTAATACAATTAGCATCAGTTCACCACTCATAAACTTTAAATGGCACATAAATAGAGTGCAGCCTATGAGTAACTGGACAGTGACTCCGCTGCTGTTCTGGTTATATGTACTGCAATGGACATGAAACAGAATTCTGCTAACTAAAGACCAAACTGGAGGCCAAACAAACAAACGCTAACCAAACTTACATTTATCGCTGTTGTCAGAAGAAAACCTTGTGTCTCCAAAATGGTGACTTTACAGGAGAAAGAAAAACCTACTTTACTTTTAATGGAAGTCAATGGAACCAGACTTTTTTACAAGTCATTTTAGGTCATTTCTTTTAGTCCATTCATCATGAAATTTACATACAATGTAAAGGACAACAGGTGCTTTTAAATTATGTCAAAAACTGGAAAACGTCAAAAGTGGAGATACAAGGTTTTCTTCCAACAACAGATGTTAATTTATCCATTCACTTTTGCCCCCCATTTAAACAGTGGGGCTATGAATAAAAAGGGTATGACCTCATAACCATTATTCCATCCAAAACTAATGTGCATGCAGTGTAACACAACAAACTGGACACTACGCCCAACTAAACAGTGAATAAGCATTAGGCAATAGAATAGTATTTACCTGGCGGCGGCTGGACGGTTGAAGTCTTCTTTCACAGAGTCAGTTAGAGTAACTTCACAATCTCTCTGCTTTGCATTTCAAACACAGGTGCTCACCTGTCTTCAGACGCTGGTTATCTGCGCGCGTGAGTGGAGATATGCATGCGTGCCTGCGTATCTGTGTGTTCTGTGTGAGTGTGAACGTTCACCAGGACAGTTCAATTCGACCATTTGCATCACAGAACAGTAAAACAGTTCAAGACTGCTCATAAAACAGCACTGAGGGACGAGCAGTGGCAGAGCTGTGCTCTTACACTCAACACGTCTACACATCCAGACTCTTAAAGGGGAATTCCAGCACTTTTCCCAAATTTCTGTATAATTCAGTCTTTAGTATGTAAACAGTGTCACTTGGTGTGACATTGTTCATTGTAGAAAACTTACAGACATGTTTTTACAGTGGGTGAGCAGGGGTCACCATGGCTACAACAGAAAAATAGCCATCTTGTTTACTGTCCAAAACCTTCAGTGAACCTATATGTGGCTTCTGAGTTTTTACATGTAATGTTGATGGTAAAATAGGGACTATTTTGCCTCCCTGCCTGTGCATTCATATTCAAACGTTTGGATACCCCTTTTTAATTACACCTTCTTTAATGTGAAAATAACCTTGTCCTCTACAGTTAACAAAATTGAATATTATTTACTGAATTTAACATACAAATATAAATGTGCCATAACTTTTGTACACTTTTTTTTTCCAATATGTTAAATTCTGCAAATAAACAGTGTATTAGAATGTGCAGAAGTGTTTTCTCTGTAGAGGATGTGTTCACTTATTCTCACATATAAAATCAACAAAACATCGTTTGACTAGGGTGCCCAAACGTCTGCCATCAATGGCTTTTAAAAATAGATTTTAGGCCAAAACGTTCAAAGGGTGATGAAACAATGTCTCTGACATCAGGCAGTGTATTCATAACCATTTCAGTGAGGGAGCTTTAAGAGGTGGACGTCTGGTTCCTATCACCACCACTGGTTTCCACGTTACGCAGCCACATGTTCTGGTCATCCGTCTGGAAGTTTGTTACTTCATGGCAGCTCTCCTCTTCACCTTCTAGTCTTTTCCAAGGCAGATTTGCACATTGCTGCATTCAAATAGTGGGTCCTGATAAGTGTGTTAGGGTAGTGTCAGTCATTAGTCTCATTCAGCCACAGTTGCTGCTGTTTAAGTCGATTGAAGTGTCTCACTCCGGCCACTAGAGGGAGCTCTAATATCAAAATCCGCAACCTCACCTTGTTAAGCTTGCATAAGAAAAAAGCCTGACAGATGTTAACTGTCCCGAGAAATGTACAAGAAAGATTCTCTGCTACGTCTAAAGGAGGAAAGTTGCCTATATTTCCAAAAGTACATGCTATCATGACATTAAGGTGATCCAGCTTAAAATCAATTTTCAGTTTTACACAGTGGACAACAATATGGGCAAAATTCAGCTACTATGACCATGAGACACTTTGGTCCATATTTATAGATAACAGTATGTTATACAGTGTCAGAAACCACATAGATAAGTCTATTAGAGATGGATTAAAGGGGAATTCCACCAATTTTGCAAAATTTCTGAATATATTAGTCCTTTAATAAACAAAATCATTTGGTGGTTTGATGTGAAATGGCTCATTGTAGATAATCTTGAAGACTGATGCTGATATCTTCATAGTGGTGGTGATAGGAACTGGGGGTCATGATGCCTATAACACAAATATAGCCATTTTATTTACTATTCAAAATCACCGGTGAACCTACACATCTTTGTATGTAATGTTGATAATGGTATAATAGTCATAAATCTGAAAAAATACATAATCATTTGGGATTATTTTGCCTTACAAGGCCCTGCATGTATCCATCCAAAGTATGGATTAAAATAAATGGATTAAAATACATTTTAAGCCAAAGTTCTGTAACAAAGCTATCATGAAACAATATGTTAGATATCAGACAACATATATCTTACCATTTCATGTAATAACTATCTATAAGGGAGCTTTCAGAAGTATTAAATTCTTCAGATGTCTGGTTCCTATCACCACCACTGTGAACTATTCAGACTCTGTAAGTTTCTCTAGAACAGAGCGTTTCATACCAAACCACTCTGACTGACTTTGATTACATCTCAACCGTTTTATTATGTAGAATTTTTGAATGTAGAGTTCTCCTTTAATAACTCAGCACGGTTAAAGGCAAGTGTGTGATGTTTAAGCATGCGGTTTGCTTGATGCTGATTGGCCAGTCAGTGTTTATTACTTGTTATGTTAGCCTTGTAACTTCAGTATGAAACTAAGGAAGCAAACCTCAGACAGCAAACATGTCCTGGCTGATCAGCTACGTTTAGGAAAGGGGCCAATTTTGTATGCTTCATTTTTGCCAGTCACTCTAAATGACTGAATAACTTTAACTCTCTCTCTCTCTCTCTCTCCCTCTCTCTCCCTCTCTCTCTCTCTCTCTCTCTCTCCCTCTCTCCTCTCTCTCTCTCTCTCTCTCTCTCTCCCTCTCTCTCTCTCTCTCTTTCATTGATCCAGTGCTGACTATCAGTTAGCCGGTGGTATTTTGACACCATCAGTGTGTGACTCACTCTAGCTCACGGACCTTCTCCTCCGTCAGGCTCAGTGACTCATCCTGCTTCTCATCTCTCAGGTCAGCGTCTGTGGAAGGAGCTGAACAGTCGATTTACTGTACGGAGGTGTCACGATGAGCCCAAAGCACAGCTCGCCGTATCCAAGCTCTATCGGCAGAGAGATAAAACAGCACAACTCTACAGAAGGAAATCCTGGAAAAGTGAATAAAGAAAAAAGGTTTTAAAAAATGATGACTACACTTTTCAGAAGTATCTTCCCACTGTGAACCGTAAGCTGCAGCGACGTCCCGCCTCAATTTCCCTTTTAGTCTTAGCGGTAAGTGCCCTAAATGGAGTCAGTCAGCCAAGACATGTTTGGTGCCTCAAGTTTCGGTTTGTTCTGGAGCTACGAGGCTAATGTGGCTAACAAGTGAGCCAGAAGCTACTTAGCTGGGTCATTCTACAGAAACGTCCACTTTTCTGTCTCTCCATAGGCGTCACTGGTGTTACCGACCCTCATTGGTGTTACACATAGGAAAGGTAACACCGGAGACATTTATAATGAACAATGCATTTTGCAAAATGGCTGCTACAGAGCATCAAACCACATGTTGTCGATCGTGGAACATCCACTAAAATATGTAATTTAATCCATTTGTGTTCTATTTTTTCACAATTACCTAAGAATAAAGTCGGTCACACCAGTGACTTCAGCTAAAAGCTTCAACTGAAATCATGAGCTAAATGAGAAAATCTCTGATAACTGAAAGACACAGTCGACTCACCATGTGCTTTTCTTCATAGATCCTCAGAAAACAGGTAAAAGGAAATCATAATGATGTCATCAGTGTGATTTTTAATGCAAAATAAAAGGTTTTTTTTTCGCAGTAACACCAGCGACACGACTCCTGGGGACAACTTTCATTATATATTGTATAATATTTGTTCAGCATTTGTTTTCTTTGTCATTTAAATCATGTATTTCATAGTCATGTATAGATTATTGCAGTTAAAATTGCAGAAAAACATGGTTTTTACCTCAAAATATGGCCTCAGCCTTTACACATGACTGTGAGGACGAGCTCTTCTGTGGTGCTTGGAATTCTAGATAATTGATTTAAAAACCCAATATTGCTGGATTGAGGCTCAAGATGGTATAATTGTTAAAGTAACATTGTTTTATTTTAAAATATAAATACATGGCAACCCTAACATGTTTCTCAAGTGTAATATATCTGTAAACACTAGGGACACAAAAATGGAATCCATAGAATGACTCAGCTGCCAGTTAGCATCGTGTTTATATCAAGCCTCAAATTGAACTGAGTTGTTAAATGACTGTATGACACATTGTTCTCTATAAAAATGGACAAAAGTACAGTTTTTATCAATACCAGAGGTGACAAACCGCGACTATTAGCACTTCAGTTCAGGCCATAAACATCAAAATTTGTTTAAAAGTACTTTTTGGATAATGCTAATTTTGATAGCATCCCTGTGGGACTAAGCTAAGGGCGACTCACTTGAACATCTTGGCCGTTCTAGATTAAAAACAAACAACTGAAGCTTTTAAAGGACATTTCATGTTTTTATTTGAAGCTTGGAACAGACATTAACGTATATCTGAGCTCGTATGTATCAGTTTTACTGTGACTCTTACAGTAAAAGAGCTGCTGCTGTTTTCCATTTCTAATAACTGACTGAAACCTAGTTAGATTACTCTCGTATTCACAGCCAGTGACGTATCTAGAGCTTCCAGAAGGCCTAGAGTGACGCCAGTTCCTCTGTCACTTAATTATATTCATGATTAGCCTGAGATTAGTCCAGCTCCTGAACTCCTAACGAGTGAGAGAGCTCACTTTGCTGTATCTGTAGACGCCAGTTGTCCATTAGATGTGAGGAAAAGTTTTTGTTTAAACCCAAAACTTCAGTCCAGAGTGTAAATGCAGGAAGTCTGATGGTCGTATTATATAAAAAAAATAAACTAAAAATTATAAACATATTTTTATTTCACAGAAATGATTAGGCCTGCTCTGAAAGCCTACAAGGACCTGAGCTTCTCCACTGGATAACATACAGTGTATGGAACCACATAAGCAGGTCTGTTTTAGATCACCTAACAACTCGATGTAAATGTGTGATGAGTATTGATGAGAGTGCAGTTAAAGCTGTGAAAAATTAAATATGCGTATTGTCTTCAGATTTAAAACTGAAGGCGACATTGCAGCAAAGACCAGTTCACAAAGCCATTCATGCATTTATTCAAGTCATTAGATTTAGAAGATTTAGTTGTGCATGAATTTTGCATGAAGCTAGTTGTGCTCAGTAGTTTGGTAACATTGTGGATGATTTAAAGTTGAAGAATTCCTCAAACTTTCTGCATAATGAAGTGGTTGCATTGTAACTCAGGCCATACAGAGTGCTTTGATACGAAAAGCCAGGAACCAGACATCTGAAGAGTAT